GCGAGAATTTTAAGGGAAGATCTTTATGTGGACGACATGATGTCAGGGTGCGATACTTTGGAACAAGCTGTCAAGGCTAGTCACGACATAAAAGCTCTTTTACGGCTTGGTGGGTTTGAGCTAAAAAAATGGTCATCCAATAGTCCCGATCTTTTAGCTTCAATTAAACCAGAAGACAAGTCATCAAGTGCGCACCTGTCTCTTAAGATTGATGGTATAATTAAGGCACTAGGCTTGCAATGGAACCTGGGTAGTGATCAATTTGAATATAACCTTAACTTGACACCTGTAGAGAACGTAATTACTAAAAGGAGCGTTCTATCTGATATTCAGAAGCTGTTTGATCCTCTTGGATGGATCTCTCCTTGCATAGTTTTGGCTAAAATGTTCATACAAGAACTTTGGGCAAATAAAGTTACATGGGATGAAGAATTAAACGAAATTCTGGCTGAAAAATGGAAAACCATACGATCAGATCTAGAAAATGTTAATGGAATTTACATAGATAGATGGATGGGAACATTAAGTTCAGAAAAGAAATGCGTTGAAATTCATGGTTTTAGTGATGCGTCTATATTAGCTTATGCTGCAGTAGTATATTGCCGAGTTAAAGGACCTGACAATTCTATTAGAACAACGTTGATTGCTTCACGAACGAGAGTAGCCCCATTGAAAACCATTTCTTTGCCTAGACTTGAATTGTGTGGAGCTTTGCTTCTGTCAAGGCTAATAAAACAGGTTGGGCAAGCTTTGAGAATACCAGCATCGCAAATCTATGCTTGGACCGACTCATCAATTGTCATATCTTGGTTGTTTGGTGATCCAAACAAATGGAAACCATTTGTAGCAAACCGTGTGGTTGAAATAACAACCAACATAAACAGCAGGCAATGGTATCATGTTCAATCCAATGATAACCCTGCAGACATTGCATCCAGAGGAATGCTTGTGTCAAACTTAAAGGAGAGCAAACTATGGTGGGATGGACCAGAATGGTTAAGTAAAACAGAAATACAGTTCACTAGACCTAATTTTATTGATACAGACTTAGAAAAAAGAAAGGCTACAATACAGACTTTAAAGTTAAGTAATGAAGATAATGTAGACACAAAATTAACAGACCAGTTTGAAGGCTTTGATAGTTTAAACGAGCTATTGAGAACACTTACTTACTGTAGAAGATTTTTGAAGAAAAATAAGGAAAACGTAGATAGCGCAATCACAACGGAAGAATTAGAAAATTCATTAAAAACATGCATAAAACTAGTACAACAAGAGGACTTCAAAAATGAAATAGATGATCTTAGGAAAAAAGGGAGAGTAAAGAACCATAGCAAACTTAAGTCATTAGATCCGTATATTGACGAAGGGAACATACTCAGAGTGGGCGGCAGGCTCAGAAACGCTGCATTAAGACATGACAGTATACATCCAATTATACTAGGACAAGCAAGTAAACTCACCGCACTAATTATCGCTGAAGCTCACTCTAAGACTATGCATGGAGGGGTGCAATTAATGCTGACTTATCTTCGCTCGAAATATTGGATATTGCGAGCCAAAGGCCTTGTTAAAAAACATATTCATCGATGTATGGTCTGTGCTCGTCAGCAAGCGCGAGTGAAGGGTCAAATTATGGGAGACCTACCAAACGTCCGAGTAACACCATCGCGACCGTTTTTAAATTCGGGAGTGGATTTCGCCGGCCCGTTTCAGATCCTAATGACCAGTGGCAGAGGTGCTAAAACCAACAAAGCATACGTAGCTTTATTTGTATGCATGTCTACGAAAGCGATACATTTAGAATTGGTAGGTAACCTAAGCACAGCGGCATTTATTGGCGCTTTTAGAAGATTTTGTGCCCGCCGAGGAAAATGTTCGAATCTATGATGTGACCAAGGAAGAAATTTTGTTGGAGCTAATAAAGAGCTATCGCAGGCCTGGAAAGAAGCTAACTTTCAATTGAATGATGAGATCGCAAATCTACTTGCTAATGATGGAACTCAATTTCACCATATTCCAGCCTATTCACCTAATTTCGGAGGACTTTGGGAGGCAGGTGTAAAATCCATGAAATATCACATGAAGAGAATTCTAACTACACACCTAACTTTTGAAGAAATGTCAACAGTCCTTTGTGAAATTGAAGCATGTTTAAACTCAAGACCTTTGTGTCCAAGGGACTCAAATGACAATACAATACAAGTATTGACACCTGGTCACTTTCTTATTGGAGAAGCGCTAGTTACTGTACCCTCTCCAGGGTTCAAGGACGTTAACATGAGCAGATTATCACGATGGCAATACACTCAAAAACTTCTTAATGATTTCTGGAATAGATGGCAAACGGAGTACTTATCGAGATTGCAACAGAGACCAAAATGGCTTAAACGGGAAGTTGAATTTAAGATCGGAGATATAGTTTTAATTAAACAAGATAATATGCCAATAGGGAAGTGGTATTTGGGCCGTATTATGGAGAAACATCCAGGACCCGATGGTTTGACGCGTGTCTATAGTGTAAAAAGTGGTGATACCATTACTAAACGCTGTGTTTCAAAACTATGTGCTTTACCAATAGATACTGATTAAACTTTAGTGTTTAAGTGCCCACAGAACTTATTTAATTATTTACTTAAGCATGAATATTATTAATAATTTAGCTTTCACTTGTTATAGTTTTTGTTCACTAATTGTTTGTGTTTTGAAAGGACTCATATAGTCCTTTGGTGGGCGGCTATGTTACACCTGTTTCACTCTTTCCCTATGCACACATGTTTTAGTTTTATAATTGTTAGTCGCAAATAAAATATCATAGAAGACAGACGTTCGTTTACTTTAAGGAAGTGTGACAACCCGTAAGCAACCTTATTACCAGTAACACTTCTACAGAAATAAGTTAAGATACGGTATGTACGCGCGTAAACAACCGTCAATTTGTATTGGTGCATTAAAACTTTTATATCGAATTATAAAGTTTTATCCGTAACAGCTTTTGCTTAACCACTATCTTCCCCTACTTATTATTAAATATTAGAATGTATCTCAATCATAGACCTTCGGAGATCTCTATTCATTAAGTGACCTTACTTTTGGCCATTACATTTTCTCGTCTTCACCAAATCCATCAGTGTTTTGCTGATATTGGCACTCTGCGGGCATCTTGGACGACAGGGCGTTTACGTGCTCGGCGTTTACGTGCCAAACCGGCATTGTGGCTCCACCTCGAAGTCACCTATGCAGATAAGGAAATTCAATACATACCCTTTGGAATCCTTGTATAGTGTTATGACGTAGTTTGTGTCAATTTCTGTCGTAATAAATGAATCACTTTGTAGATTATAAAGGATTTACAAACACCAATACGTTCATAACTGTTTTCAATTTGTGACAGTGAACTAATAGAATATCCAATTAATGTAAATAATACATGCAATTAAAGTTGATAACAATTTTGAACAGATCGAGTGCTTAAAGCATAGTCTTGAATTCATATTTTAAACGGAAACAAGTGGAAACATGAAGATTAGGCATTTGTTACTTTTTTTTGTGTTATATCTGTGCAATCGTGAAAGTGAGACGAGGCCTAAAAATCCTACGGATGTCTTAAGACTTCCCAAACCTATTACAAGTGAAACAGTTATAACAATAAATGGTACTATGAAAACCCAGTACAATGTGTAAGTTAATTTAGGACATCAGTTTATTGTAAATATTTTTCAAGTATGCTGAAAGCTGGACTTGCTTCAATAGGAAATTGATCTCGTTAGATTTCAGGAAATTATAGCATAGACTCCTCAAACCAATGCACGTGATAATAGTTGTGTGATTAACGGAAGAAATTTAATGTAATATTAATACTTTCAGAGGCATCCTGCCTTCTGTTTAATTTTTTTATCATTTGATGGATCGATTAACGAAGTTGCAAAACTACTGGATTCGGCGTCATGTGTTGTTGATGATGAGTTCGGGGTTCGATTCATACACGGTTCAATTACTCAATCTATGTTTTTAAGATATCCCTAGATTATAGGATTGCTTTAGTCTAGGGATTATATACATTAGGGTTACGAACCTCAAATCTAATATTAAATATAAGTACAAAAAAAAAGAGGAAATAAGAATTATGGTAATTGTATTGAACAAAAGTATCTTGAAATTGTGTTTTTAAAGGCACAGTTTATAACAATATATGTGAGTTTGGTGTAAATGCAGTTAGCTAAACGAAAGTGATGGATATTTTCAATTGAATTTTCCTCTTTTGGAAACATAACTTTAGAAAATATTAATATGAATTAAGAGATAAATAAAGTTATATGACTGAAACGTAATAATATCATAAGGATGTCAGCTCATATTCAGCGCAGGTTCCAAAGCGCTGTTATTGAACGGTTTTTTTGTATAACCTGCCTTTATTTACCATGCAATTTCTGTTAATTATTATCTCATTATGTAATGGTCCATTACATAATGAGAGACATATTTGTTGACGAAAATGTTACATCATTTGCATATAATATGAAAAACGTTAAATAAGTCTGTTTTTCTTATGAACTTTAATTCAAGAATTATGCTTAATTACTTTCAAAAATTCATGATTACGGGACGGAATTAAATAAAATACAAAACGAGATTAACAAAAGATTATTTTATCAATGGGTACGAGTAAATGTAAGAAACTATATATAACTATATTTCTATTACTTTATTTATGAAAATATTTTTACTCTTACATTCTTTGGTTTTATTTAGCACACTATAGATTTTTCTGGCAACCTTTTTTTCTCCTTTAAATAAAATTGTACTTATTAACTTAAATTTTCTGTATTAAACAAATATCAAAGAAAAAGATACAAGGGGAAAAAATGATCCAAAAAGACGAATGTTGAAACCGATATGTAACTGCATTGATTTTTTTTTTATGTATTTAATTTTCTTACTTTCTTATTTTTAGATTAGTCTTTTCGTTATCGGATAAACAAAGGAACAGTATATGCAACATGACTTACGATACCACTACCGGTAAAGCGACCATGTCATCGGAACTGACTGAATCAAGTACGTTCGAATACAACCTTGAAAATCCTAACTCCATTTGTAAGTATATAACGTATAAAGTGTAAAGTTAAATTTTAAGCGTTGAAACGCGTTACATCACTTTACTTATTTAGAGTCAAATATCGAATTCAATTTTTAAGCATCTCTATAGGAACATTTTAATGAAGACATCTAATTATTTTCAGTACCGGCAGTATTTTCCTTGCAAATAGAACCAAGAATGGTGAACAAGCGACATTTAATAAACCTTCATTTTGAAGCTGATAATGCTGGTCCGCTGACGCTCGAACCGTGTGAAGTAAAGGATTTTGAAAATATTCAAAGGATCGTTTTGAAGGGCGCGGATTCCATAAACAGTTTATTTTTTAAATTCAAAACATAGTGTTGTATGATGAAAAAAATATGGAGCACCTTCCAAGTGTGATGGGCGTGTATCACACGGTCAGGAACTTCTGGCTTCCTGGGTATTGCGAATTGTGAGTCAGGAGCCCATTGAAAGCATTTTTAACACATTTCTCCAGATTTTCAAAAAATATATTGAAAATACGTAGTTGCTATGGCGAAAGTTAAGTATCCGAGAATGTCGCGAGAGACTTATGATTTGAAACCATAAAGTACGAGAAAACAAATAAAATGCCAATAAAAATAACATAGCAATGGTTAGCTATATATATTGGTTTTATAGACGACATAATTATTATATCTTTTTATTATTAAAACATGATTAAAAATAATCTTTTGTTGTTACCCTAACGGGTTAGTCAGTGTTAGCTTATTTATCTAATAGCTTATTGATGTATAGATATACATCATATGTACCTAGATAAAAAGGTTATAACCATTTTTATAGTTTATATGCTAGTCATTATTATTAAGTGTTGGTTGATTCAATTACATTAAATAGGATCTTTATTATTACTTTGTTGTTGTTACTAATAAAATTTGATAAATAATTGTGATGGCTTTATTTTTCACGCACGCACATACAGCGCAGTGACAATGTCTAAGGCCAGGTAGTAAATTCCAATAAATTAATGTGGATGAGTAACTAAATTTAAGGTGAAAACCCCCCTTAACCCACATAACATGGTGAGCAACGACAAAGACGTCACAATTGACGTACATACGTTAGTAGACACAATAAGTTCGAGGCGGGAGCAGGGTTTAAAAATGTTTAAAAATTATTTAAGCTCATTAAAAAGAACATTAATAGAGATATAAATAAACAAAGAAATAAAAGTAACGCTTATTATCTTTTGATTTAAAACGAGTTATTTTAATAACAACTTTTTTATTTAAAACGCTTCCGTTAAGAAATATGTTAACCTTACTATAAATGTTTTGTAATATAATGAAATATCTGATAAAATATCGCCTTTCTATATGTATCTACTTTTATAAAATTCTGTGCATGGGTGTAAGTACTTTTATTTCATGATTTTTTAAACATTTTAAAATTACACATGAATTGTTCCAAAATTTTATATACCTACTGATTGATCTAAAAGGAAATGTGCTGGCCCCTGGCACCTCAAGATTCCTAGCATCTGTTGCGATCCTTCTAAAGCTGATGGCCTGGATGCGAGACCGTCCAGGTCAAACACTATAAAACAGTACGGGAAAGTTTACGCTTATTGATTTCTTGTTTTTACCCGAATAATAAATTAGATTTTTAGATTCCCGACGTTTCGAACCCTTTCCAGCGTTCATTGACTGTACCGTAAGTGTAATCTAAAAACAAATCTTTAAACAACGTTTCATTCAAGTAAAGTAAAGTAACAGCCAATACATGTCCCATTGCTGGGCAAAGGCCTCCTCTATACAGAGGGTATCAGGACATAGTCCACCTCGCGGCCCCACTGCGGATTGGCGGACTTCACATATCTTCGAAATATATATATATATATACAGCGTGTCGTTACCATCGCGACAATAAATAATTTCATTAGACTAGAGCACTTGTATATACCTAGATTCATTAGACTAGAGGACTTGTATATACCTAGATTCATTAGACTAGAACACTTGTATATACCTGGTTTCATTTAACAAAATTGACGCTGTAAAATGATTCCACTACTTTTTTGTAAGTACCTATTTCATAAGAGGGGGCTTCGCACGAAGACGGGAATGTAATCCGTTGAACGTCTAGACTAGGTCAGGATCGACAATAAATTTCCTTGCAGCCTCTCCAAAAGTTAGAACATATAAACGGTACTTTTGTGTCAATATTTGCTTTTCTTGGGAAATATTTCCAAAATTCAGAAAATTTTCGACAATTTATCCATAAAAATGGTGTTAAGACATACACCCAGGAATGACATATACATGGAATTTTATCGGTAAGGTTAACTTGGTCATAAAAGTAAAACACGGTTTCGTATATTAAAAATTTATTATAACAAACGCACAAATATTGTATGAAATATAATAAATAACACACTTGTGCTATTTAATAAATACAAAGCTACTTATTAATAAAGGCAATGATAAATCAAATCTCCTGTGCAGTTCCTCTTACAGGCTTACCCTGTCACTAAAATACAGTATTACAATATGAAAAGTGAAAGATATCGAAAGAAACTCTCTATTAGTGATAAATGATTTCTAAGAACAATATCAAATCTGTTACACTTTTTTGAAACAGTTTTAATACAATAAAAGATCAAATTCAATACCGTGAAAAAACTTTTGAGATAACTATTTTTAAACATTAATACATTTTCAGGCGACTAGACCTGCCAATTGAACAGTACTTTGGTTAAAATTGCATCACAAATCTATTATAAATAGGCCTTCTATAATTATAAATACTACCACTTAAATTGAAAACGTGCTTCTTAAGCTCCTTCGGTTCAATCAAACTTAAATAAATAAATATAATTTGTGACCGTAATAAATGTATTGAAAAACACAATATGTCAAAATTTTCATTCTGAGATAATCTCATAACGATGTTTAAATTAGGATTGTAATATGGCGATTGTAACATGGCATTAATGGATCAGGTAATTACAGGTATCATCGTAATTTTTTTTTAATTTGGTAACTATTTTTGAAGATACTCTGACAAAGTTGCCCTAAATCTTGCCCATTTTTATTCCATAAATATTATGGATAAATAGAGAATTCACGACCATATTAATAAAAAAAAAATTATACAAAACTCGTAACCACACAAAAACTGTGCTAATTTTGAGGTGTTTAAAAGAAAAAAGTAACATTCAGTAAGTCACATTAAACATTTGTAATACAAACAAAATATGACATTTTGTGATACGAACAAAAACTGAATCAGAAAGTAAGAATTCACATGTCAAAACGTTTATGATGATGTGTCAAAATAGAATTTAAATCAGACCCTACCATTTATGTACCTTACCATTTGTTTATGTACCCTATCATTTGTTTAAACGGACAAACCGGTTCGAAGTTAAAAATTATTCTTCGTTTGATAAATATTAAAAACCATACATAGTTATAAGTAGGAAGACTTATTTGAGCCCATACTATGACAAACATTGCGGCGGAGAGCATAGAAATATTTATAAATAATTGGAACATGTGAATTACAACAATATTATTGTAAAATAAATAGGAATGAAGCATTATATCTTATCAATGAAAGTTATCACTAAAAACGTTTTTTATTAAACTTTGCTACAATCTAAATGGTGTAAATAAATCTTGTAATGAACAATTCATAACAACGCTGTTACAGCCGTTTATAAGGCAAGTGAACCTGTGTTCGCTTATACATCTAATTACTAATTATAATTAAATCGAATAAATATGTTTGAATGTCACCATGTTTAAAAAGATGAATATAAATATTTAAAATTCATAAACGATATTGGGCCCTTGTTTAAATTATTATTTTCTTAAGTAGAACACATGTTATTATACAGTGGGGTTTTATTAGAGATGGCAACATAATTTCACAATTTTTATTTTTTTCGCTGTTTTACGCCATGTAATGCAAATATAACAAATTCTCGCAAAGATGACAAACTTTTTAGAAATTATTTGCTATCTCAGATGCAAGTTACGATTGCGATTTTTAAATATTGACTAAGGTATAATATATCAAAAGATTTTTTAAATGTAAGGCCTATTATATTGAATAAATATCCAATTAAAGGCCTATCGTGAACTAGACCTTTTTTGTTCATCTATTTCCATGGTGATTATAAATGCCTACAGCTAAGTAGTAATGGAATTATATTTAAATATTGCCACTCGATAATTGAGATACATTTTTGGACAAAACCTACCATGTGCTAGCTAATTCACTCGTTATTATTCACTGGAACTCTACTTTACTTTACTTACTAAATTAATCAGTTGGGGGCTCCATAGCAACTATGATTGCTTTCATGAAGGCAGCAGCGGCTAAAGCAGCGTGAGCTTGCCATTCCTTACCACGTGTTCCATCACGGTAGTCTGAGATACCTGTAAAGTTCATGATAATTAACAATATTACTTTGATAATTCATACATATTTATTATAGATATTTATTTGGTAATTCATACAACCTATTTATTTATGTTTCGATTAAATTTAACTCACGGTGGTAGGGCCACGTAACAGCCTCGGCTGTTGCACGAATGGGCAGGCTCGTCCGGGTAAGTACCACGACCTCACAGAAGACTGGCGTAAAGTGCAAGTATTATACTTTCGCGTTTCGTCTGGTGAGTGAGGTGGCCGAAGCCCAATTTTCAAAAGGTTGTCAACGCATCTGCAACCCTCGGGTGTACCAGAAGTCCATGGGCGGCAGTATTCACTTAACATCAGGTGAACCGTCTGATCGCTTAGCAACTTCTCGCATACAAAAAAATTATATGTCACGAAGTTACCTCCTCCAGAAAATGTTGGATGAGATAATTTTCATGTTAAACTTTAACATAAACTGGTAATGAGGAAAATTCTAAAACCTTCCAAAACGGTAATAGCTAAAGCTCACTTGTGCTAACACAAGTGATCTTAACATTAATTATTACGACCGCTGTAAGGGGTATGAAACGTAAAATCAAAATAAAACGCGAAAAAACCCGTAAAATACTTTAATGACCGTAACAACGTGGTAGGGCCACGCCACGGATAAGTACCACGTCCTCGCAGAAGGTCGGCTTAAAGTGGAAGTGTTACTGTGTTACTGCGTCTGGTGAGTGAGGTAGCCGGAGCTCATTTTATTAAACGTTGGCAACGCATCTGCAAATGTCAATAGACGGCGAATATCACTTAACATCAGGTGAACCGCCAGCTCGCTTGCCACCTCACATAAAAAATAAACGTGTGTGTGCGTACTTACGTACGCACGTGAAGAGTTATACTTCATTAGGCGTGACAAAAGAAATATAACAAAATACTTCATCCCGTTTGCCAGTATTTGTAAAAAAAAACATCAAATGCAATTGATAAAGGTATGGTTAAAAAGTTATTATCGGTTGCCGTGGTAACACGATGAAGTCCGTAGAAATTCAGCTTCAATCAATCTCTATATTATGTAAAAATGAATCGCTGAATGTGTTGCTAAGCGCAAATCTCAGCTAAACCGATTTCGCTAGTTATTTTTTTTATAATTTTTTACAAATCTTCCTTGAAGTACGAGGATAGTACTTACGGAGAGAAAAATTTAAAAAATTGCCTGAAAAAGTCTAAAAACAGCATTTTTGTATATTCCCGTACAAAAGATTCGTAATAATACTTAAAAGTCAATTTGAACTTTAATACCATACCGTAAAGTTTAAGTATTAGCGAAAGGGTTCCGGGAAAGCAAAACAAGTGAATAACTGTGGTAAAATGTCACTTGAAATGTAAACGGCCCTTTGCTGTGCATCACTACATAGTATAAAACAAAGTCGTCCCGCTGTCTGTCTGGCCCTATGTATGCTTAGATCATTAAAACTACGCAACGGATAGAGTGATTCAAGAGGAAGGTTCATATGTATAATACATTGCACCCGTGCGAAGCCGGGGAGGGTCGCTAGTTTTTACATATATATAATTCTTCTGTACGTGTGTAATGTGACTGAGCTCCCTCAACGGGTGGACCGATTTAAATGCAAATTTTTGTGTGTCCCCAGCGAGAATTGTTTAGATCCACAATTCACTACGACCTTCTTTTATCTTTCAAGCTGTCGTCGGACATGAGCAGCGTGTGCTGGACGTCTGTCGGGCTAGTGTACGTCTAAACTTAAAAAGCGACCCACCTCTGACGGAGACGAAGCAGTCCTTGCGGTTGCCGACGACGCTGTCCAGCACTGCGTCGAGCTCGCAGTCGTAGGCGCGGGCGCGCGCGTGTGCGGCGAACGCGGCGCGCGCCTCGCCCCCGCCCGCCACCGCGCGGCCCCCCGCCACCGGCGCGCAGTGCACCCGCCCGCGGCTGAAACGCAACGCCGCCTCGTACACTCGTCTACGCAACTTTTGCGGGTCGATTTTTCGCAAGTTCCGTACAGGTTGCCAGTTCGCGAACTCCTGTCGCGCGTCGTACAAAACTCGTGCAGGTCGACTGTTCGCTAGTTCCTGTCGTCGCGCGTAACACATTCAGTGCATTGCTAGTCGCGCATGTAACACTCATCGACATGTCTAGTCCGTCCTGTCGCGGGTAGTACACTCGTCGACATATCACGTACAGGTTGCTAGTAAGCGAACTTCTTTTGTTGCGCGTCATACACTCGTCTACACAACTCGTGCAGGTAAATTGTTCGCGAATTTCTGTCATCGCGCGTCGTATACTCATACAAGTTGCCTGTTCACGAACTCCTGTCGTTGTCGTCGCATGACGCACACTCGTCTACACAACTCGTTCAGGTCGATTGTTCGCGAGTTCCCGTCGTCGCGCGTAGTACACTCGTCGACATAACACGTTCAGGTTTGTGGTGATTGTGGTATCCGAAGTTCTATTGATTCCATTTTTGTGGTAGGCGATCCACCATCTAACTAAAAGGCAGCCAATACTTACGATTCCTCCGTTATTGGAAATGTCCATGGAAGTACGGATTGAGAACCGCATGCAATTTTGCCACCTCCTCCATAAAACTATGCGGCTTAAATTTGAAGTTAGATTACAAAGTTAGATTATCTCTTGAACACAAAGCAACAGATTGTTGATGCAAATCGGACAAAAAAAAGCTCATACCTGTGCACTCCCTGTGGCGCCGGATGCGAGACCTCTATGAAAACGCCATCACCGACGTCGACGCTCAGACGGTCGGTGGTGTCTTCGGGCGGCTCCCAGCGGCCGGGTACACCGCGCAAGCGCTGAAGTCCTGGCGCAAATAAACGACAAAACATAAAAACCCGCGTAAAACAACTGCTCGCTATCGGGGTCGACCTTGACTCAGCGCATGTACTGTCGCATAAAACATAAAAACCCGCGTAAAACAACTGCTCTCGGGGTCGACCTTGACTCAGCGCATGTACTGTCGCATAAAACATAAAAAAAACAACTGCTCTCGATCGCGGTCGACCATGACTCAAAGCATGTACTGTCGCATAAAACATAAAAACCCGCGTAAAACAACTGCTCGCGATCGGAGTTGGCCTTGACACAGCGCAATCGCATGTGTACTGTCGCATGCGAAAATCGCTTAGCAAAACAAAGAACCTATGTATGTTTGAGGTTGACACTGCGCGTGTATTGTCGCGTGCGAAAGTTGCTTAACAAAACAAAAGAACATAATTCGGTTTGAGGTTGACTCTGCACGTGTACTGGCGCGTGCGAAAATCGCTTAACAAAACGAAGAACATAATTCTGTCATGTATGCTGAACTACAGAACGTGTGAACGCAGTAATATGCTCGAAAGGGATTCTTAAAAGAACATGTGGGGTATTCGCGCAGCAAACTTACTGTTTAATGAATGGCCAGGCCCGTCCGCAAAAGTACCACGGTCTCACAGAACACCTGTGTTAAGTTGAATTATTATGATACCTACCATCGCGTTTCGACTAAGGTTGTCAGGCAGGGCACACTCTTTTTAAAATTGGAAACTAATCCTCTAAGCCTTAGGTGTTTTATCATGTCCATAGACGACTGTGATTAGTTAATTAGCATCAGATGAAGCGCCTGTTCGCTTCTCAAAATTTTTCGTCAAAGTAAACCACAGGTGAGTAGGAGCGAGACAAAGAGTGATTTAAGACAACAGATTTACTCCTCTTCGAAATGCATTTTATTTTACGTTTTTAGTACACTGTATGCCTAACGTCTGTAACTTCATTTAGTACAGTAGCAAGTTTTGAGTGTTTAAGTGTAAGTATTTTAGAAACATATGAACTCAGAATGAGTGACAGAATGATATTTATGGAGTATAAAAATGATTCTCAGTATATAAATTCCACACCTTCGTTGACATAGGAACTCCAAGGGGCTTCGGTGCTCATAAGGCGCAGTGCGATGTCTTGCAGCAGGTAATTGGTCGGTTTGTAAGGCTTCACTTCGTAATCCCAACCCCCCTTTTCGTTTCGCTCCGCCTTTTCGCAGAAAACGTAAACGTACCTTGAAAATGTCACAAATATCACAAATCAGAGACAAATTATACAACAATAAAATTCATTTACGGTTTACATCGGCTGTACATTTTTTGAAACCACTTTAATTGTAAGAACAAACTCGAAACGAACGCTTCTGCAATGTTACAGACATATTCTTGATTGATAGATACTGCTGTATCTAAAAAATTGATTCCAGGTCATTTTATTTAACAAACAATTAAAAACTATGATAAATCTCACAAACTTTAATTATGCAAAACCTCAGCAATGAGGAGCGTGAGGGTGTAATAAAGGATCGGAAGTTTTCGCTTCACGTATTGTATAGAAGATTCTTTAAGACAATGCATACAGATTGTATGAGATTTAAAAAAGCTTTTGGTAAGACAATCGCTCCTACATGGAACTTTCCTCCAGAATTCGCCTCGCACTTGACTTTACATATCATATAGAGTTCAATATTGACTCACGATCGCGTCAATGAATATAACATTTAAAGTCTCAAATAATTTAATTCATTTATAATTATGTTCCGAACTTGGTTTAGGCGGATCTCATTTTGTTCAGAGATGTTACACTATATTTATGATATGTTTTCTGAGGAACCAGGGTTTGAATTTATTCTATGGTATGAGAGCTTGACGATAGTGTCAAGCTCATTAAGTAGAAAGTATTCTTAACAAAAATTATTGTCTCGTTTTTACAAGATATATAATTAGTAAATAATTAGTTTGTAGGAATGTTAAATTGCAATATATTGGACCCGATTTCAGATCTGAGGATTATTAGATATCCAATAAAGAAGATATAAAACGATATTGCTCTGACAATCTGAATTAAACTAATGGTATATTAAATTACATTGATACAAAGAGCGGACAATATGTTATCAAAGTGACATCATGGCAATGAAGCCAAATTGGAATAATTGATACCTCGGCTCTGGGGTCATAGCGTCGTCAAATTTCATTACGACCTAAGAATTCAAGCAAGTCCCACACTGTTTTAAAATGTTATATTAAATCGGCGAAACTCTCAGAAAATAGTTTAAATATTTTTATATGCATAATCTAGAATCCAGATAATACTAGAATATCTAGATTATGATGTCAATTCAATAGGTATAGCTGTAGTATGGCCCTTCCGGGAAAGTACAACGGCCTCACAGAAGACCGTCATGAAGTCCAAATTATACTTGTGCGTTTCGTACGTTGAATGGGGTTGCCAGTTTTTGGAAACGCTTTGCAGCACATTTTATAGGTATTGAAGATGCCCATGGGCGGCGGTAACTTAACATCAGATGAACCGCCTGATCGCTGCAATCTTCTCAAAAAAAACCAAGCATAAAATTTAAGATATTAGCCAATTATATAATATTGTTGCGATAAAAACACATTTTGATACAATTCAATTACTACTTATCTCATTTGTTAAAGCCTTGACATTATTAAAGAGACAAGAAATAGTTGAGTGTCACCTCATTAAGGGTAAGGTATAAGTCGATTTCTTACTTGTCGTTCAAGTCCGGGGCTGGTGTGGACACGACGACGTCACCGAGTCGCACGTGCCTCGAGTAATCCGTGTAGTGAGGCACACCACCGCCAACGCCCACAAGGAACACGTATTCTACCTGAATTCCAATATAAACTGTCTCATCTCTAATACCTTGTGGAGTAGCCTGTAATACCTTAGACTGAGATAATAAGCGCTCCCCACTCTCTCTAGCTTCATGAAAGAATATTACAATGGAAAGAAAATTTGACACGTTACATTTCTCTCCTCTTAGTAACTTGTATGGTCCAAATGGTAAAGTAACAACCTGTATATGTCCTACTGCTGGACAAATGTTCCGTTGGCACGGAGGAGGCTTTAAGACATAGTCTACTACGCGATTGGCGGACTGCGGATTGGCAGACTTCACATATAATTCGATATTTTTTATTATTTCGAAAATATGCACGATATTTTCCTCTACCGCTGCGCAAGTGATAAGTCAGCGTTTAAAATTACAATAAACATTTTCATTTGTGCTCGCACCGAGATTTGAACACAGCTTGCTGTATATATAATTAAAAGCTAGCGCTCAGGCACTGCTATCACGAATCTGGTCTCATGGTTCACGTAAAACATTTCACGCCACTAAGACTAATCCGCGACTTAGGATCTGAACTGAATGAGAATTTTGTCAGAAAAACAATAAGCTTTTAAGACATTTTAAACTAGCATTGAGCTAGTTTAAAATGTCTTAAAAGCACTTTTTCTACATATTTTAATGTTCAATCTTAAGTGCAAAGATTAGCACTATAAACAATTTAAATTTCTAAAAAAGTAATGGCGACATCTCTCGTTCGAATTATCGTTGTAAAACGATATTCGAAATTGTTTGTATGCTGGAAAGGATATAACAATAGATGGCGCTAAGCATTGCTTCAAATGCTAAGAAAACAATGTAGAGGAATGCGTTAAGATTTTCGTCGGTGTGGTCATCAGCCGTTTAGCTCAGTGGCTAGAGCGTCAGGCCGCGAATGCCGAAGACGTGGGTTCGATTCCCACAGCGGCGACAATCTTTTCGCACTTTTTCTACATATTTTAATGTTCAATCTTAAGTGCAAAGATTAGCACTATAAACAATTTAAATTTCTAGCTCAATTTATTTGAGACATTTTACGACTTTAATATGTGATTACTAAACAAGACAAGCAAAGCCATTAACTAATTTCTATTGGGCTTGCGGTTATGGACCGACATTGGCTTGACCACAAACCAACTCGAATGGACGTATAAATAATTTGTATATAGCATAAGAAGTAGCAACCGGTTTCAATACAGACGTCATGTGTTCCGCAGCACGTTCCGAATAAATTGTTACAGCAACTGAGCATATCTCTGGTATTCAATAACGGGGCTATTTTGACAACATCGGCTCGTATTAAATTAGCGTTTGTAGTGTTCTGGAGGCAAATGCGAATGCCTCGTGCGTCTGGCGCTTATGAAGGAGAGTTTCCATTGACACGAGCAGAGCGGAGGAATCGTGCCTAAATCATTAAATTGACTGAAATCCTAAACTCACCTTCGATTCGTTTATATATATCACACTAAAGCGCGAGGATTTAAATTTTAGTGCTGCGACGGGTGAGTTAGGTAGCCGGGAACGTACCCTCGTATACTTTGGCAACGCAACTGCAATCCCTGGTCCATCTAACGGTCTATTTGTTTGTCAAGGAGGAAGTGAATCGAGCTGTATAACGTGCAGAGGAGCGCGAAGCGAAGAGTGAAATAAAATAAAATAAAATAAAACTTAATCTTCTAAAGGTTTTTTTTTTCTATAGGCACCATGAAATAATATAACCGTACGAAACTCCCACAGTTAACAGTCTAATGTCATCTCATATGTTGAAATCCGTCAATAGGTTTAGGCTGTAGAGACTGCTAAAGTTAGACTTTACACGCTCGAAAAAGATTAACCCCCGTCGCAACGCGGGTGAAGAGAAAAGCGGTATTTTAAAATGTATCAGATAGTGTCGTATCCCCATTGAAGAACTCCTCCACAGGCCCGCCTCTCCGCGTCAGTGAAAACGCACCCTAAATTCCCAATCGATCGATGAGCAATAACACAAGAATGGCGCTGCCCGAACTTCGTAAAATATCACCATAGTCGCTAAGTGTACGAGAAAAAAATAGAGCGCAGTCAAGGGCGCGTCGCATTTATTGCCACAGACGAAATCGATTGAAGGCGTCTGTCTCTGTAACAGTTCCATGGTTATTCACGGAATGAGTAACGCATTTATTATCGATTTAATCGAATACTTATAGCTTTTTGAGCAAACACTTTTTACATCATATACATTTTTTTTATTTCGAAATAGATTAGCATTTTATTCGCACTTTTGAACTATAGCGAAAAAAACTAAAGCCAGCAGTAATAAATTTTTAGTAGAAACTGGAAGGGGTCTTCGAAATTATTTTAAATAATTGTAAAGGTATTTTTACCTGTAAGAAACGCCCATTTCAGAAAAAACGCCTTTATATTTTATAGACATGTGAATAGAGGACGCCTTACGGTATCCCATTTTACCGTTAAAGTCGATTACGCAACGTCTTCCAAACGCAAGTCTGTCGACATCGACACCCACCATAAAAAAACTGCTATTCTATTGATAGCTATTGGCTATCAACGTAGTGGGCCATTAAAATTAAACATAAGCGAAATAACAAATTCAAGTACGACTCGCATTCTGAATGTTCCTTATTAACTTAATTTAAGATGATGACAACCGAAGAGATTAATTATTAACAACATTTTTTTTCTTATAAATCTGTACGCCATATCGAATTAACGAAATGTTACATTGGTTATAAATATTAAAAAAATATACATAGGTATCAAAACAAAAAAACCATACCAAAAAGTTGAACTACAGATATGTCATTATTGCGAAAAGACTAAAATACTATGGTTGAGCTTAGTCGGATATGAACCTTAAGCACGGCCCACACTAAAATATAAAAAAAGATGTGTGTAACCAACCTTCTGGAATATTCCCAGTAGTCTCGTTGTAGTGTTCCCAGCCGCCGTCATCGCCTCCCGGGTACGGCCCACCGAAGGCAACTTTGTGGTTACAACGCGATGCGCCCCAATGGTACCCAGTGTGTATACGTTGGACTCGCCTGTAATATTGTACAGGATAGCAGACTATAAATGGTGAGTATTTTTATTGACTCTGGCTCCATCACCGCACTCAGAGATAGCAATTTGCTAGCCTCAAATGATTTCGCTTGCGAAGTTCAACATAAGGACCGATTTGGTAGTAACACTTTTCAAAGCACGCTACAAAGACATTTACGTTTATGTTAATTAGTGACATTACAACAGTTTCGAGGAGGCCGTTGTTACTTACAGTAGTAGGTACCTTTAAAGAAATCAAGTAGGTGTACAATAAAAAAAAAAGAAATTTATCAATAAAAGTATTATAGTCGTATATAAAGAAAATGTAAGAAAATTTTTAAAGAACGATACTTGTAGTGTCTCAAATTTAAAAATCTCATATATCCCGTTTGCTCTAACTAGGTAAATTTTGAACCTTTTCAGGTTGTCTTAACTCCGTGTATCCAAAAATAATGATTATGTTAAATTAATTTCTTCAACACTTACTTATAGCTGCAGTATTTTATAATTTAAGATAATTAAAACTTATAGAGCAAAGTTATTTTTATTTTCGTGTTATTTAACCTAGTTGATATATTTAAATTATAACAGTTAAAGGTAAATTAAGTTACGATTTTAAGTTACGTAATCAATAAAAAAATGTAACAGTTTAATATTTTCCTTCATTGTTTGAAGCTTTATTAATGGTATTACCACATAATATCACTTATTAAATATACATATAATTATGTAACACATTTTAAAAGATCATTTAGAAATTGTGTTTATTTAGTTATTTTAATTTTAATACTTGCGTTTTTGGCGACTATTTTATTAAGATACTTTTATTATAATTAAATATATTTACAAGGCCAAAGATATTTCGTTATATTTTAGTTCGTTAAAGCATCATCTGTTCTTCTAGGAATTCCCCGACTGCTACTGAATACTAAAACATCATCAATATTGAACGGGACGTGAGCATCATAAGTAACGAAAGCTGTTATTCTAGTTGTACACCGACCGTTTTTCCCTATATTTGCATTCGGTGTTTGCACTAGCAAATTTGCAGCTCATTAACGAAGAATTTCACACGTACATGAGGCGCGAGAATAAGCCACACACAGACATTAGATAAGACCTCTATCCATACGAAGCCTTGTTTTACTTGTCGCACGAAATTCATAAATTACGCACATTGTATTGTTCGTCCAGCGCTTTCAGTCCATAATAATGTAAAATGCAGAAAACATTCATGACCTTCACCTTCTAGCCTTCACCCCAAAATACCCAATTATTAGATACGTCAGTAACCCATATACTCTGTGGGTAGGTTATGGAAATTCACCGACGAAAAGTTATTGCAACGAGTGAGTAAATGTTATGCGTTATAATTTAGGAAAACCCTAAATCGAAAACCCTTAATAAAACCGAACAAAATTTGGCAACAAGTTCGGGTTGCATTGCTTGTCTCATAAGACGGTACATATTTGTATAGAATACTACCGTATTTTACTTAAAAATAAGATGGTCGCGGGCATTTTTTATGAATCTAAAAGAATGACTATTGTCATTATATAACCTTGCAAAACTGTTAACAAGGTCGTGGTTCCAAAGTTGTTAAGTACTCACATAGATAATTTAAGATAACGAAAGATGACAAATAAACTAGGCTATAGGCTAAAACTTAATCTTTTTTTGTCTAATGTTTATCTTTTATTTACACAAAATGACAAATTTCTCATAGTCTGCATAAATACTAATGCGACAACTTTACTGGTACTATTTACAGTTACTAGTGCCATTGTTTCGTATTCTAACAATTTAATTTGGAAAAAAATTACAAACAATTAAGAGCTTTTATCACTTAACCGATTAGGTGATAGAAGAAAACAATTATGCGACAAGGTAAGTTGATTTTCTTAACATTTATATATAAACAACGAAAGAGACAACGAATACTTATGCATTTATTCTTGTATCTTGTATTAACTGATGTTTTTGCTTTCAGTCCCGAGACTATTAAAGCTTCATCAGATTAAAGGTTCATCTGAATTTATATCTGAATTTATTTCGGAATTTATTTCGGCATTTATTTCGGTTTGCATCTACATATGTATAGTTAAAATTTAAGGCTATTGCTCTGCCCAATTTTAAACACGATTACATTCCATTGTGGCCCAATGATGTCGTACCAAAGGCTTATTACTTAATCTAATCATGGAGTTAATTTTGAGTTGTATCGAGGCATAAAATCTGGTCGAATTGTTACTATAATAACAATACCATTATGTAAAAAATTATGCTTATATATCCTCTGAATCAATAAGTTGCCGCCTATCGAAGTATAATCGATGACTTTCGGGTAGCTAACTTCTAAAGCGTATCCTCTAGTAAAAGGTATTGTATTTTATGACATCAATTCAACTTCCGGTACCTTTAAACTAATTGAACTCAAACCATGAATATTTAAAAGGCTGTGGTTTAGTCGTTTGGGGAATTCTTCCTACAAGAAGGCCCCGATTATCTTACTCTCCTGAAAATATGCAAAAGTACCTACAAACTTCTACGCTACGTCGATTTTCTATGTCTTGGTACTTCCCTGGACGACTATATTTATATTCTGGTCACTATATTCACTATATTGTTTATCATCTGCTACCAATCCAATTGGTGTGCACCATAGTTTTCAGTCGTATGATTTCCTGTTGTGATCACAACAAAGAATCAACTAAAGGAAGAATAAACATGATTGATAACCTTGACATTTTCGTTATTCTAAATCTTCATTTTAGATTTTACTACATATCTTAAGATTGCGTTAATATGTTATTGTTAGTAAAACAGGTTAGAGAAGCAGACGTCATGGAAACATTAAACTTCAATGGGGAGTAATGGGTTCAATGACCAAACTAATTATAGTTAGTTTAATTAAAATTAGATGTTTTTATTTTATACTAGCTGTATCCGCTACTTCGTCCGCGTGAAATTTTAAATAAAAAAAAATCTAAAATAAAAATAGCCTAAGTTACTCCTTATTAGATCAGCTGTCTGTCAGTGAAAGTCCCGTCCAAATCGGTCCAGCCGTTTCAGAGATTAACTGGAACAAACAGCCAGACAGACAGACAAAAATTGTAAAAAATGTTATTTTAGTATTTGTACCGTGTATACATCCATATGCATTTAGTAAAAAGCGGTTATTTTAATATTAAAAACAGACACTCCAATTTTATTTATCTGTATAGATTATCCACTTACGGCAGCGAATGTTGGCCTACTCCATTTAGCAATCGGAGTTAGCCATGCATAAGAATGTATGTCTAATTTCGATCACTGATAAAGAAGATCGGAATAATAATTAAAGGAATAAATGCCATACAAGTTCATGGTTTTGGGGCAATTGTTTATCAAATTGCACTCAAACAGAATTTGCATCGCAAATTGTCGGTGAGATTAGATTACAATGTTATATACCCAATAATAGTTTATGAAACAAACTTAACTTACAGCAAAACCCTATTGCCAATCGGTCTATTTATAATCATTCGTAAGCAAGTTCTGAAATTGTGTCTCAATCAACTATAATTGGTGCCTAAAATTTTTGTGTGTTCTAAACCTATTCGTTTCATATAAAATTAGCATGATTAAATGTGCATATATAAATACTCAAACTTTATGATGATGCATAAAAACTACAAGTGTAGTGTCTTTTTTATCAATTCGTCTTAGATAAGATGGTACTTAAATTATGATTATGAGTTTCTTCACTATAAACAATTTTTAAACATATGGAACACGGAGGCGCTTGCGCATACATTACTATACAATTGGTTTTCATGCGACGTCGAAACAATCTATAGGAACAAGTTTTCTTAAGTGTACTAAAGACAGCAGCCGCAAAACCGTAGTGTAGGAAAGAATAAACAAATCGCGGAGCAGTACAAACTGAAGTTTCGCAGCATAACTACACGTGCAGTGACGTGCTAGCTGTTAACCCGGAGGTTTGTGCGGTGATCGTGTGTTTGTTTTTATGTTACGTAATTGTAAACTAAAAATTTTGCCTTGATTAATTTATATGAGAGAAAATTTTACTTTAATTCAAAATATCTTAAGTGATTGTATATCCGAGAATAGTCGAAGATGCTGAAAGTATGTTGGGATTGCATCGTTGGGTATGACTTAATTTGTTTCGACATGTAATTGAAATATTTTTTATAAAGAGTTGAATCACATGAAAATATATTCCATAAATACAACTATTCATTAATAACTTAAGTGCCTATATTCCTAGACGTCATTTTAAATGTCAATGTCAATACAACGCTGAGAAATAGATGGCATAAAATTATTTTATAAATTCAAAACAAATTCAACTATTGTCAAAATAGTTTATATTGAATACTTCAATATAAACTATTTTAATGCCAAAAGCAATATTGTTAGAAAGATTACATTACATTACGAAAATCCATTATTTTAGCTAGGGTTTAATTTAAGGTAAGTTACTTTAACTTACCTTACAACTACAAGTTAAAAAACTGATAACAACATTCAAACATCAAACTTTACAGTCTTTTTTAAACTTATGCTTGATAATAAAACTGCAAAGTAATATGAAATACTTTATGTTAAAAATATCGTGTACGTTGTCGTTTTGTTGTAGATCTCGCACAGAAAATGAACAAGAGCATACTATTCAACTGAATGGTAACACGCATAGAGCTCCACCGTGGCCAATATCTCAGTATAATAACGAAATCATGTTTATTTTACCAAAGAAATTGAGTTCAGGTGATCAAATTAATGTTGCGGGCAACATGGCAAATAACCCAAAAGCGTAAGTACATTTTTACATAGATCTATTAAAAAAAAATCAAAACAGAATATTTACTCAAGACCTCTAGTATAGACTTTATAGCCACATTAAAAGCTGTGGTTCAAATTTCTCTAGTCTAATTGCATATTTTATCACTGACTGTATAATAATTTGTAGCGAATAACTGATACAAAATAAATAAAGGGCTTTAATAGTTGTTAGCCTATAGAAATGTAAGCCTTAAAATTTAAAGGTAAGGGTCTATAAAAATAAAATGATCCCTAGGAATAAAACCAAAACAAACATCCAATGAAGACAATATACTTTCATTGTAAAAAATTTGCAATTTCAGATTAACTGTAAGTTTAATGACGGGAAATATGTCACCAGACTACCAAAATATAGCATGCCAGTTGGAAGCTACATTTCCATCAAATCCAAATAACCCAAACCAATTGTCTTTGAAAATTGTTGAAAATGGATATAATGAGGAAGTTACTGGAGACTATCAAAGTTTTTTGGCTACTGAGTTGTTTACAGGTAAAAATTTATAAAAGTACATTAGAATTTCACATAGAATTTTTTTAAATTTATTTATTGTATTTCATCTGATAATATTATTCATGTATTCTTGGGCATGTTTTTGTCTAATATTTTGATTTAGTCAAAGCCTATATTTATTACTATATTAGTAATCTTTCACACAAATTTCATGCTAACTAAGCATTCCTTTTTCTGCAGTTTAGTAAACAATATAAATTAACTAAATTAAAATAACATTTCATTTCAGATTTAAACTTTAATTTTGGTTTCTCTGTCAGAGTAAATGGAAATTATCAAAGTGGTCACATCCTAGATATTTATGTTGGAGAATCATTTTTGGAACAAGTAAAGTTAAAACACAATATAGAGGATATCAGATTCTTAACTCTAAGTGGGGATATCACAAAAGTTAATAAACTGGATTTTCAATTTGCATGAAAAAAAAATACACATCAACATCTGCTTATCTGTTAGCATACTATTAAACTAAATCTTATACTTAAAAATATTTTACAATGCAAAAAAATGTAAAGTAATAAGCATCTACATATTATGACATCACTGATTTGAAACTTATAATATAAGTAACTTATGACTATTTGAATAACATTTGTTGAGTTGCATAATACTGATAAGATTTTAATTGTTATTGTATTTTATTTATCTAAGTTATTTCTTAAGATTTGACCATCCCACCATAGGCCTAATATATTACTTTCTTCTTGATTACATGTTATTGTAGTCCCTTCAACTATTTATGCATTTAGAACTAATATTAATAGATCTTTATAAGATTATAAAACTGAATGGCAATTTAAGGCAGCTAATTGAAAAAAATGTATGACTTATGTAGAAAATGAATAAGTTTTGTATCGAATACTTGAAATATATATTAAGCTTTTATTTATTGTATCACTACAAAATGTAGCTAGCATGTAACAGTTTATGTTTTAGTAACTAATACTTATTTTTACAATAAAATAATTTAAGAATATTATATCTAATGTACTTTTAATTTGACATTTTTTCTGGTTTAGCCAATCTCAAACTGACAGTTTCCAGGTACTTTGAGATACAAATTTATTACTTGTGATCTTGTTAGCATGAGTTCTTGTTACTTGAATTACATTTTATATTTTCTAATAAACTTATATAGAATGTAATACTCATCCTTAATGATCTAATTTCTCAATATATAAAAGTTGATGTTAAATTTTTTTTCACAAAACCAGAAACCATAAAAATAATGTTTTTGCCTTGTTTTCTATTTTTAGACATTAATCTATCTGTAGATCAAATATTGAAATTGCCTTTAGGGTTTATTAACATACTAGCTGCTGCCCATGACTATGTCTGTGTAGAATAGGCTGAAGGCGTAACATTCAGACAGAAAAACAGATGACATAGGCTATAATTTATATACATAAATTATAGCCTATGTCTTCTGTGTACTCTGATGTATGAGCTATACTATTGTACTTTCATTTAAATTCATTCAGTAGTATTTGTGTGAAAGAGTAACAAACATCCATCCATACACACAAACTTTTGCCTTTATAATATTAGTGATGATGTTTTTTTTTATATAACATACAGCAACATTAATATTTTAATATTGTACTATATACATTATGTAGAACGGCCACAACTTCACAGAAGAACAGTGTGAAGAGGAAGTATAATACTTTCACTTTTCGTGTGGTGTGAGGTAGCAGGAGCCCAATTTCCAAAAGGTTGTCAACTGCAATCCCCCGAGGGTAAGTAGCAGATATCCATGGGCAGTGGTATTCATTTAACATCAGGTTAACCGGCTGCTCGCTTGTCAACTTATCACATAAAAATAAAATTCATGTAACAGCTTTTCCTCATTTGCCTATTTGATCTACAGACATTGATTTTTCTAACATCAATAACAACAAAATGTTACTTTCATTCATTAGTTATATAATGCCTATATTATTTAATAATAATGTAGATTTTCAGCCTTAGCATTCATTTTTGTTGCATTACTGTAGTGTTTTGTTATATATATTTCAAAATCGTAGTAAATATGTGCAAGCGTTCTCAGGAAATAAACGGGTAATTTTCCCAAAATATTGGGAAAACCTTTTAAAATATGAATTGATAGAGACATGGTAAAAGACTCACCAACAGTCGTATAACGCACGTACGTCTCTTGATTGTCCATCATGGCGTCGACGGCTTGTTTCTCGCAGTACAAAGCGGTGATTATCGCTATGCTCGGTTGCCGTGACGAGCACAATGTGGGCATTTGCTTCACCACCTGTATGTATGTTGATGTTATAGTAAGTTTTTTCATATGAGAAGGTGGCCGACGATTATTCCGTTCATCTCATGCTAAGTGATTATCGACCATCACCCCACTTTTTTAAAGGATTGTTCCTATACTACTCCTGTTGTTTTCCTGCAGGGAAATAATGAATGAATAGATGGGCAGCTTTTGTGAAGCCAACCAATGAGACAACTCAATCATGCTGCAGTAAAATTAAAAAAAAAAAATTGTCAGTTAACATTTTATTTTATTTACTTAAATGCTCAAATATTACATGTTTGGAATTAATATTACATTGGAGATGTAGAAATTGGAGTTAAAATCCGAATTGAATACATTTTTGATTCAATCCATTTCTGAGCGGTTGCTTACACTTTTGATAATCCGTTTATAACGCAAGGTAGTTCTGCCATGACTTTCCCCAACGCCCATTAGGAGCTAGGCAGTTTACCTTAATCATCAATCATTCTGGGGAAGCGATTATTGTACCCAAAAAGAAATCCTACAAACAACTTAAAGGCCAGCAACGCATTTGTAACTCCTCTGGTGTTGCTAATTTTGTGAACAATTACCGTCAAGCGAACTCTGTTTTGCTCTTTTTCAAAAGACCGTCGACGGTTTATTTTTCATCTTTGGACATTTGTTTTCATGTGGTGTTTTAGTAATGGCAGGTTACATAATCCAAATTCAATGCGTTAAAAATGTTAGGACAGTGATTATTTTAGAAGATAAAAATTAATATAACAGGAAATGTATCCAGTGGTCCAGGAAATGTATCATTGTATGCCTATTTCGTTGTAATATTGGATTAAAACTACAAGTTTCTCAATGGAAATTTTGAAATCTGTTAAATCTTTTACTCGATGTTTCCAACATTAGCATGTTGTTCACAGAATGTTCAAGACTTTTTCTGTTCAGTTTTTCTGATAGATACCAAAGGAACCGTGGAGTCACGAAATAACTTCTACTACTACATGCATAGGTTGGCCCGGTTAAGAAATCGATGAAGAACCACATCTACACTGGACTGAATAAGAAATAAAATTATACACTATAGATTCTGTTCAGTGAGTGCAGCAACCAGAAAAACTGGTCTATTCCATCCCATAAAAATAAACTATACAATGCACAATATGACTAATTGTTATTTTTATATTATCTTACCTGAGTATCAACACTATGTTGACGTATGTATAGTCCTTCCGACATAGTCCTTGTTAGGCCCTTTTCTTCCAGAGCTTCTAAGGCATCTTTCACTTCGGTTTTTGACCATTTTCCAACACTGAAAAAATTAATTTCCTGTAGGATTACTTCATTGAATTTAAAAGCAGTAAATACAAGTGCTAATTCCAGTAAAACTATTCAATTGTATCGTCGCTTGTTGACTCTTCATTGTCCCTGTTGACACATCTGAGCAGTTTTACTCAAGTACTTAGAATCATTTTTTGACAAAATAAATTTCTATTCGCCTTTTATAATGCTTTACGCAAAATATTAATTTTCAAAATCTCTCATTTAATTTACCATTGGCCTATATCCATGTATCACAATCTCATACATAAATCCACCTGTTCAATCCAAAAAGATATTAACAACTCTTTAAAACATTCACATAGATAATGCAAAATTATAACAGCCTTTTTTCATATCAAAAGAATCCCTGTTATGTAACAATCATATGAAGTAGAAATGAGCTCTGCACTAAGGCAGCGATTTTTCTACTTCATATGATTGTTTTGTGCAAGATATCACAAATATTCTTGTTAATTCTTGATGACTTGGGCGTTGTAAAACTATTGGTTTCGGCGTTGGGGGCGTGGGTTCGATTGCCACATTCATTCGGAACAAGTACTTGTTTGATCCGCAGATAATTTTTCCAGATATGGGTGTTTGTTTCGCATTGAGGGTCTAGGTCAGTCAGGCGGCAGGACGTAAAAAAATAAACACTTTGTGTCGACCCCACATTGGTGGGATAAGGGCAAGGGGATGACAATTCAGGTTAATTTATATGATTTCTAACAAGAGATTGATTCTAAGTAAGTTGACATGTTAAGCGTTAAATAATGTAGAGCATCCTGCCAAACAAGAATTGTTATCGAAAATAGAAAACTTACGTTACAAAATCTTCGACTGTCAATGGATTGGGATAAGCATTTTCAATCATATCTAAAACTCTTTGCTCCGAGATAATCTGTGTTTGGTTCAAAACACTATCTTCAATGAAAGCTGAAATTGAATGCAATATAAGACGGGTGCTATTATATACAGCAAACACCTTAAAAAAAACTAACTTTTAAAGTGTACATGAATGACTTACTGATGGTAAAACATTAACAAATACTATTCACTAATATTTATAATACATACAATTAACATGAAATGGTTGAACATAAAGTAAAAGTACAATGGGAGTTGTTCATTTTAAAAGTAATGCTTTGATGTAAGCAAATAATAAGTACACTAATCTAGACAGATTAGAGTCCCCCCATAGGAGACCTATGTTCAGCCTTGAAATCAAACAGGCTGAAATGGTGATGATGATGATCAATGTGAACCAAGCATACTATATAGATTATAGACAATTGATAATAAATTACAAAGGAAAGTCATATTTTGCTTTTTAACTATTATTAATTAACCTATTTGACTTTCAAAATAAACTACTCATATTTTTGCTACATTATGTGCAGAGATATATATATATCTTTTGGTGATTGGATTAGAAATTACAGTTAGTAAAATAATGATTATTAAATATAGCTAGAAGATGCAGTAAAATTGAAATGTTATTAACACTGTTAGGGATGATATAAAAATGTTAAACCATCACAAAAACCATAACAGATGAAGTTAATACATTACATGGTCTTTTAAATGATAAGTGCATACATATAAAATTATCAATTAAAATAAATATTTCTGTTCATGTTATATTACAAGTGCATAACAATGAAAGTATAACTGATATAACAAGAAACAAAAACACATGCTCTATATATTCTATTGTTCCATACATACATCCATTAGAATACTTGTATATAAGGCCCTTACTGGTAATGACTCCATTTGTTTCTGTGTCATAAAATTTAAAAAAAAACTTGAATAAAACATTAATATAGTTTTTTGATACATGTATATGCATAAAATATTATTAGTTTGTTAATTTGTTAGAAACATAACTTTTATATTGGTGTTACTATGATATATAATTATGCTAAATATTACACAATAAAGTATTTTTAAGACAATCTTTTCATTTTCATATACAGGTAAAAGTGTAAAAAAGTTAATGCATACCTTGTGGCGGTGGGCCACACAACTCTTGTCTTAATTCTATTTCCAATACTTTAAGTTGATGATATTTATGCTGCATAAGCTTCATTATCTTTTTTATAAAGCCCACATAATCTGAAAAGACACTGAGATTTTAAGACCACATGCTGGCAATTGATACAAAATCAACCATAATAACAATGCTGGGTGACAGGTGTGACTATTGAATAAAGCATATTAATGTTAACACATCAGTAAAATTTATAATAACAGTGCCTAACATTTAGTCTAGAGAATTTTAACGGAGAGCCTTGAATAATCATTTTTTAAAATATAATCTTAATTATTTTGAATTTCTGAGTTTTGCATTTTATAAATAAAAGTTTTCACATAGAAAAAGTTTCCATAAAATTTTGTAACTTTCATGTTAAAAAGAAAAATACCTTTAGGAAAATCTTTGGGACTAACTAGCTCTCGAAAAAAGCTCTGGGCTTCATGAGGGCATTCGTCTCGAGGTACTTCAGGCTTAAACCAAAATCTTAAGGCTCTGGCCTCCCGGGTATGTGAGCCTGTGGCTGCAGACACTAAATAAACCCAGAACTCTAACTGTGCATGGCATGGCTCAGTTACTCCATTTTCTGTAAAGACAAATATCATAATAAGCTGTGTATTACAAATCTTTATCTGTGTTAGGGCCATACAAAAGTCTTTTCTGTTGCACAAATGGGAATAATACATCCCCTAATAGATGATCAGTGTGAAGTGTTATACTTCTGTGTTTCATCTAGTTAGGTAATCGGGGCTCCATTATTAAAAGGTGACATTATCTGCAAACCTACGGGTGTTGCAAATTTCCATAGGTGGTAGTTGTCACCTTCTCATCCAAAAAATAAAATAGATAAACAAGCATTGCACAACTTTAATATTAACGAAATCAAATAATAACGAAATTAATAAATATTTTTGTCATTATAAACAATATATATTACTCATATTTTAAACTATTTACAATGGCTTTCATTATTATTTACTAAAAATTAATTAGGTTATTACCGTAGACTTTTTCCTTGTTTATTATGATGCCTGTATGGTCTCCACCTGCGATGTGTATTTTATCATTGGGCTCAGCATTAACAATTTTCCTCTCAACAATTATTGTCGTCGATGAGGAAGTTTTGCATTTGGGTGTCATAATTACTTTTTCTCCTGAATTGTCCATTTTAAGATAAAATTTCAACACTCTTCTGGATGCTAAAATGAACAATACAATCACGTCATTTATTAATCACAAATTCCGATATGAACAGCAACAGAAGCAATGAGTCACAATCACAAATTCATTCTTCATCCTTTTTCACACATCCAATCCATATATTCTGCATTTTTAGGTAAACCTCCTTTTCGCAAATTTCGCTATCTAAGGAGAATTTGGTTTTTGAATATTGTAATTAATAAAAAATTATTATTATTTAAAAAAATTATAGTGACTGTATATAAAACATTACATTATTTATAAATTATCGTAATATTTAGAACATTTACTTCAAAATGTATAAATATATTGGTTCAATTATAAAATAAAATATAATTTTAATTAAATTATACAAGGTCCCCAGGAACAACAAAAGGTAAACAAGAACAACTTTCGATAAAAACCACAGAGTGCTTTATTATAATATAGATAAAACTGAATGCGGCATGGGCAAAAAATATCGATTATTTCCATACAATTATATATCATCATATCAAATTAATCACCGGTATATTTTATCGTGATATATCGATATTCGATATTTATTTTAGACTATCGAATTCGTGTCAATTTCGATACATACTTTAACAAAACCCTGGTTTCGTGTTTAATGTTATTATATACTCTTTGCATGCTCCTCGAGTATCGTTAACTTTTAATTTGTCTAAAAATGTTTTGAACTATTTTCATCTTATCGATTATTTTTTTTACGAATTTTGAATCGATGTGAAAACGATATATTGCTAATTTTGACTCGTACATTACCGATAGTTTTTTTTTATGTGACAAGTTGCCAAACGAGCAGACGGTTCTTGACCTGATGGTAAGTGAATACCGTCGCCCATGGACATCTGCTAAACCCGAGGCTTACAGATGCGTTGACAACCTTTTGAAAATTGGGCTCCGGCTACCTCACTCACCAGACGAAACGCGAAAGTATTTGTCATACTTCCACTTTACGCTGGTCTTCTGTGAGGTCGTGGTACCTACTTACCTGGACGGGCCTGCCCATTCGTGCAACAGCCGAGGCTGCTGCGTGGCCCTACCACAGTTTTTGAAAATGTCGATATAATAAATATCGATACATTATTTTTACTTGCCCATCCCTAAACAGTATCAAACTTTATTCAGACACACGGTCTTTTCAGTCCATACATTTGATAATTGTATGGAGCTAGCTCATTCCGTTTAGTTTCGTCCTTCGAAAACAGGTGGCGTTTTTTTAAATGCAAACCGATTTTAACCTTGGTACCATTAAATTAAAAACAAAATTTTATTTTAAATTAAAATAAATTTAAAAATAAATTGTACGTATGGTTCTTATTTTGGAGAAAATAGTATTTTATTAAACAAAAATTATTAATTTGAAAAAAAAAAACACAAAATATAATGTAATAGTATTGTCAGCATTGGCCTATGTAGTATTTTAAATTGTTCCGCCATAAACTCTTATTGTGAATATACGGCTACTCATAATATATTTAATTCATTTACTAAGTAATATAAAATCCCAAATGGTGAGGAAATTGCCATCGTATATGTTCAAAAGACAATGAATTTAAAGATAGGTATGCTTCATTGGGAAGATCCCATTTTGAATGATACTTATTCCCATTATTTATTGTCTGACTCTTAAAAACAATGAAAATGATTATAACGTCACAATAAAATGTATTTAATTTGTATAAATATTTTTCAAGTCAATGAACAATGTTCAAGGTCAAGTATATTAATTAAGTTAATTTTTAAATAAAACAGTTTTGATTACACAGATAATTAAATTTTCCGATAGTTATTCTAGCTTGTTAGATAATTTAAAGAAAGGTGACTTTTTTCATTTAGGAAGTTTTTTTTTAAAACAGTGGATTTAGGAGGTTTTTGAAATACTTTAGGAGATTTTTTCAACAGTTAGTAACACTGAACTGCGGCCGGTTATTAGTCATTTATTTTATTCGGTTATCTTTCATTATTCATCATTTTATTTTGTTATACGTTTCGGCAAAACATTCATATTGTATTTACAGGTAAAGACTGCAACGCAAATTTGCATTTTTTTTCTCACTTGAAAATGGTAATGACTGATTTAAAACATGAATTCAATCGATTGGAGGAAATTTACTGATTTTGGATAGGCAAAAATAATTTAACGTAAATAATTTACCAAACCAGACTCGAAATCATTCATAAAAAGTTTAATTGACAACTTTAATTGACACAATTGATATCTTCATTAGGTTAAATCTAGATTAGTAGAAATTTAAAGAATTTATGAGGCTTAAACTATCAATATCGAAGTTTCATTGTAACGCATCAATACGGTGCCGACGTAAGCGATTCAAATGCGACCTGGCATATGAACATACTGGGAGTGGCCAACAACACGGGTTACCCAATCAGTTGTAAAAAAAGGATAAATAAATTATTTCAAAGCTTCTAAAAGTGAAATGCCTTTACAAGTCGTAAAAACACCTTAATAATTTATATATATGTATTTTCTCTGCTTGTCAAAGTGTTGATGAAAACACGTTGTTGAGTGATCTTTTAATATTTAAAATATTTTTAATATTTATATATTAAACATACTTTTTTGCGTTGAAATCGTGAATTTATCTGTTTTGTGAGAGTTTGGTGGTGGTTTTTGTGTGTATTGGTAAGTTTGTTAACATTTAGTCCCGTCCTTCCTATTCTATGAAGAACATGGACGAAGACGAGCCTCCGGATAGAGGGACGACCGCCTTCCACCTGATATTTCGTTGGATTGCTCGTCCCCATCCCCATCTACAGCTTCTAATTCCAACTCTTTACTAAATAATGTGCATCGTAAGTGCGCGACTGAAAACGTTGAAATGCTGGAAAGAAAAAAATCTGTTCCTCCCTCTACGTTGTATCAATCTACTTTTTCCAAAAAGGGTTATGAAATTGACTCTAAATTACTATACACTGATCAGGACAAGGGTCCTTTTATCGTACATATAACTAGATCTGTTCCCGATTTATCCTCTGGTCCGTCTATTAGAGTATTGAAATTTGCCCAACTTTTACACAAATCGAAAATTTCTGGTATTGCGCAGGGAGGTATAAAAGCTTTGGGAAGAAATAGAATATCAGTTGAATTTAAAACTAATTTGGCAGCTAATAACTTCATTTATCATGACTTACTGTCTACAAATAATTTTAAAGCAGTTATCCCTAGATTTAATATTACCCACATGGGAGTTGTTAGAAGCATCCCCACTGACTGGACATTAGAAGAGTTAATTGAAAATATTAAAACTCCCTCCAACTGTGGCGAAGTTATTAGAGCTCGTCGTCTCAATACAAAGATCCGAGTTGATGATAAAGTCACATGGGTTCCATCAACTACTGCAGTCCTCACCTTTTCGAGCCAATCACTCCCTGAAAGAGTATTTTGTTATCACTCTGCTCTTCCAATCTCAACTTATCAACTGCCAACAATTCAATGTAGGAACTATTGCAGATTTGGCCACATTTCATCACAGTGCCGATCTCAACCTAGATGTTTCCGTTGTGGACAGGGACACACTGGGGATAGCTGTTTGGATTCTAATAAGGAAATTTGTATTTTGTGTAGTGGTAGTCATAGAGCTACTGATGATAAATGCCCAGAACATGCTAGACAAAAATCCACTAAGATTATCATGTCTCAAGAAAATATTAGCTACTCTGAAGCTGCTCTTCAATTTCCCCCCTCAAAAAGATCTTACACGGAGGTGGTCAACTCACCCCTTCTTCCATTATCCCCCTACTCAATCCCAACCTGTCTCCCTCTCCTCCTCTTCTACTATCCAATCTAATACTCAGCCATCTTATACCAAAACTATTTCCCTCGTCCCAAAGCTCCTCTCAGTAAATCCTATGATGTCATAACCCATAGAAATATAATTAACACCCCCCCTATCTACTCAGCCTAATGGTCGCGCTCTATCATCTTCAGAGTCTACTCCTATGCTTACTCCCAATGATAATCTCATTGAACTTCTTATTTGCTCCCTTATCAATATGATATCAAAGTTCTCAGACTCTCTACCGAACAATGTCATTATTCTTCTTCAACAATTTCTCGAAACTTTAATTACCAAAAATGGCGACTTTAATTCAGTGGAACTGTAGAAGTGTTCGTCATAAGAAATCAGAACTCATTTATTTAATAAATCGCTTCAAACCCGTGGCCCTTGCCATCTCGGAGACATGGTTAAAACCCGGGTCTGCTTTCAGGCTGTCGGGGTATTCATGTTTCCGCGATGACAGGGATGATGGAAAAGCAGGTTGTGCCCTCCTTGTGTCAAGATCCATCTCCTTCTCCCAGATCCTTATCCCTCCTCATAGCTGTAATTTGAACATAGTAGCCGTTAAAGCTAAAAATATTACATTCATATCCTGCTACATTCCTCATCCCAATAGTTCCGTAATTTCTGAACTTAACTCCATTCTCTCTTCTATCCCAGCTCCCCTCATGCGTTAAACATTTATCTCTAGATGGTGAACCAATTTTATTTAAGAGTCAGGCAAGATTTTTGGGAGTCATTCTTGATTCCAACATGACTGGTATTCCCCATTTGCAATATATATATTCTAAGTGTGAGAAAAACACCAACATCCTCAGATCCTTGTCAGGAGTTCGTTGGGGCTCTAATCCTTTTTCACAAAAGGTCTTCTATAACGCGAGTGTATGTAGCCACTTTGATTACGGCTGCTTTATTTTGGTACCATGCAGTAAGGTGGCTCTTGGTAAGCTTGACAAAATCCAGTCAAAGTGCTTACGTATAATTACTGGGGCTATGAAATCTTCTCCTATTAATGCCCTCCAAGTGGAGTGCGTGGAACCTCCTTTAAACCTCCGTAGACAGTTTCTTGATGACAGATTCTTCTCCAATGTTGTTCAGTTCCACTCTCACCCCATTTTAAAATCCTTAAGTCTCCTCTCCCGCTCCATTAACTTGTCTCCTTATTGTTCAAACAAATCCCATCCTTTGTTAGTAAATAGTTACAATAGATATAAATCCTCTCATTTATCTGTTCTCTGCTTAGAAAACCACCCACTTTTTACTACCAGTTATGATGCTTTAATTTTTCATCCCAATATTATTCTAAACCTTGGCATTGACAAGAATACCTTGGATGCTAACCAGAAATTTAACTTGCTTGTGAGGAATGACTGGGTTCTTATATTCACAGATGCTTCAAAAACAGGTTCATCTCTTGTTGGTGCATCTGTTTATATCCCAAAGTACAGTGTAGTTTTAAGTTTTAAATGTCCTTCAGAATGTTCAATTCTTTCAGTTGAAGCTGTAGCCATTTTAGAAGCAGTAAAATATATAGATTCTAACCAATCCCATTTTCGTAAGACTTTGATCCTCAGTGACTCCCGTAGTTGTCTAGAGGATTAAAAGAAACTTCCCTTCCACCGTAAACACCATTCCACAATTATGCTTAACACAAAAGAAATATTATTCAAGTTACAAAGAGAGGGTATTGAAACTGTTCTAGCCTGGATTCCTGGCCACATGGGTATTCTAGGTAATGAAACAGCCGATTATTATGCCAAACAAGCTGTTGTGATAGGGGATCCATGCCACTCTAGCATCCCTGCTCGTGATCTGTGCTCTATGACCAAACCTCACTTAATGGAAACTTGGAATAATTTATGGCAACAAACCAAAACTGTGAAAGGGAGATTCTATGCTAGTATCCAGCCTAATATCCCATCTAGGCCCTGGTTTTTCAAATACCAGTATTTCAGTAAATTAATTACTTCTGTAATAATTCGCCTTCGTTTAGGACATGTTTGCTCCCCAGTGTTTTTAGCTAAACTACGTATACTGGACCACTCTCTATGTCAGTGAGGCTTAGCAGAGGGTACTCTGGAACACTTGTTTTTTTTCATGTCCAAATCTTACCATTCCTGTATACGATATCCTTCTGTCCAACTTCCCCAGACCTGTCAATATCCCATTCCTTTTAACCCTTAATGACCCCCGTGTTGTCAAATTACTTCATAAATTCCTCTGTGTTAATAACATAAAGCTTTAACATCCCCATTTCTATTCCTTGTAATTGTTTGTCTTAACTTTTTAGCCACCATTATTTATTTATATTTTTTGAATTTATATATCTTCTAACAAATTGTTTTGTCCAGGTAGTCAACCAGTCAAGTATGATGTTCTAACTACCGTACAAAAGCCTACACTACCGGGCAATTATATCACTTATTATCTGTTTTGTTCAACCTTGACATTGGCAGAATCATCAAGCTATCCTTGATGGAGCCATTACATTAAAAATTGAATTGAAATTGATATATACTATCGATACTATCGATAATATCGATGATTTTATACTACCAATGGCCTATAACTGGCTATCTTATATTTGTAGTATCAAACCTATCGAGGCTATCGATAGTATCGATAGTTTTTGCCAAAAACTAATGGCAATTGCAATACTATCGATACCATCGATACTATCGCATGCATTACTATCGATACTATCGATAGTATTGGCACTTGGAGAGCTATCGGTACCATCGGTAGTATCGACGGTATTGAATTAGACGATATTATCGATAGTACAATCGATATCCTGAATAGTTTTCGAGGTCAACTATCGATAGTCAAACTATCGATGGTTGTGCAACACTACTACATAGGCCAATGCTGCCAATATTATTACTTTATATTCTGTGTTTAAAATTGTGTAATTTAAGAAAAAAATGTAAATTAAAAATTAAATAAATTTCTCATCCTAAATTTCTCCTCCTAAATAATTTCTTTTTAAGTTGGCATCGGTGTCTCAGTTACGTCGGTAACGCACCGTTACACTGTATAAAATTACTTCCAGCATTTTCCTTAGTTGTTTTCTTTCAAATTAATAATTTTTGTTTAATACAATACAATTTTCTCCAAAATAAGAGCTATACATAATTTTTTTTATAAATTTATTTTAACTTAAAATAAAATTTTGTTTTTAATTTAATGGTACCATAGTTAAAATGGTTTTGCATTTAAAACAACGCCATCTGTTTTTGACGGATGTAACTAAACGGAATGAGCAAACTCCATAATCCATACAAATATCAAATGAGTTCAAATGCAGTTTCAGTATATGTCTTATCTATGTTCAAATGTATGGACTGAAAAGACCGTGTTCGGCATTTTCGATTTCATTTACATTTGTCTTTCTCTTTTATAATTTTTATTCTTTATATTTATACTGACTGAGCCAGTGATCATAATCATATCATCAAATAAAATAACTAACATTTTTACATTTTATGATGTCACTTAAACTAATTTTGATTTTTTTTGTGTTGGCTTGTTTAATAAAAGCAGACAATTTAAGCTTGCAGAATGTAAGCGATGATGATTTACTGCATTTAATCAAAGAAAAGGAGAAGCTTATTGTTCTATTTTGTGAGTAATCTAACACTGTTTTCTTTCTCGTTACTTTGTAAAATTTATCTGCAAAACCATTTAGGTAATCAACATCATAATTGAATTTTGTGCACAAATATTATCTTGACTTTTTTAAAATTCAATCATTCAGCCTTTTAGCGGCTCACTATTGTAAGTATGAGATGTTTATTGTGACATGTCTCAGATTTACAGAAGATTATTGTAGTGAGATTAATGAAAGTATATCTATATATACTAATCACAATGCCTCATTCATGTTTAATGGTTTTATTTGTCTTGTATTGCAAAAGATCATGGGTAGGGGTCCTTATAAAAGAAGGCACATAATATTGTTAACTGCATTTTATATATTATTAACAAAATCACTTTTCAGCAAAAGCAAACTGTCCAGCCTGTGATAAATTTGAAGACCAATTAGAAAGTTTAAATGAAGACTTTAAGAAACATCTCAATGTATTTACAGTAAAAACAGAGAACAGTAATTTAGTTCGTCTCTATAGCCCAAGCAAAGAACCTGCTGTTGTCTTCTTTAGGCATGGAGTTCCGCTTTTATATAATGGTACTCCTTTATTGTATATTTCTTAGTAAATAATTATTTTTTATATAAATATGGTGCAAATTTCAATATTATTAAATTTCTGATTATAATTTTTGTTGTATTGTATTTTAAAATAACTTTACAGGTGAACCAGATGAAAATGAAATTTATGGCTTTTTTGAGAAAAACCAATCCCCTGCTGTCAAGGAACTCACAGACAAAATATTTGAGCATATGACACAAGCAGCTACAGGAGCAACAACAGGCGATTGGTTTGTCATGTTGTGAGTAATTTTTTATTTCAATTTTAGCAAAACCTTAATAATTGAATCTAGTAAAATCATTTGGCATTGAAAGTTAAAGTAATGGGGAAGCCGACAGGTTGTATATCTGGGAAATAATTTTGTAAGTTAGCTAAAGCATTAAATTTAAGTGAATTATTTATATGGTATCTTTAATATTAGGCACAATGAAAGAAAGCAAATATGAAGCAGATAATAATTTTATACTACCTTATCTTTCTTGAATTTGCATCAGTACAAAATTCTAAATTGCACCACAATTTTGGTATCATATTTATTTAGATTATAAATTAAATAGCTGAATGCATATGATGAGATAGTAATATTGTGGATAACATTGTGACAAATTCAACTGGAGTTACAACATAAAGTAAAAAAAAGTAATGTAACAGCCTATACATGTCCCACTGCTGGGCAAAGGCCTCCTCTATACAGAGGGTATCAGGGCATAGTACACCACGCGGCCCCACTGCTGATTGGTGGACTTCACATATCTTCGAAATATATTTTTTTTGTTATTATTTCGAAAATATGCAGGTTTTCTCACGATGTTTCCTTCACCGCGGAGCACATGATAAGTCAGCACTTAAAGTTAAAAACTTCATTGGTGCTAATGTGATCGAACTCAGGTTGCTCGAGTATATTGAATTAAAGGCGAGCACCCGTACACTGAGCTATCACGGCTCATTACAACATAATTTTTCATAAAATTAATACTCTGTTTTCAAGCTATGGTGCATCATGTGTGGAATGTCAAAGGTTACATGCTGTTTGGGAAAGTGTGGGAGCTACTTTACGTGGTCGTGTTAATGTTGCTAGAGTTGATGCCAATTTAGCTGGGTCAAATACGGCCAAGCGTTTCAAGATCTCTAAACTGCCTTCTTTTCTTTTGTAAGTATAGAACTTTGGATACAATTTCTATACTTTTTAATGTGTCTTCTGTTAGGTTATGTTGCTTCCCCTGACAGACCCTTCTATTGGTGCAACAGCAAATACTGATGCATGGACCTACCACAGCTAAAAATATGTTTCATTTATAAAAAAATAATTTTATGAATAAAACTGTTCAAAAGTTCATAGTATTTTAGTAGCACTGTTGTGATAACTGCTTAAATTTCTATTTCCTCAACATTTTAAATTAAGTCAAAATTTTTAGAAAAAAATTATTTAATATTATGCCTACAACAAATCACTACAAATATAAATTTTGTAATAAAACCAAGGCATGTCCAATTTCATTTTCTGAATATCCCAAAATCAATTTTGCCGAAGCTAATTTAAATATTCATTAATTATACCTATATAAGTTGATAAACTACACAACCATTTGGTGCTGGCTTACAATATGCGATAGCTTATAAACCTTTTTCTATAAATTTACATAGTGATTGGCTAAACAGTAATCCAGTTTAGCAATTTCATATACAAATATATATACATATTTGAATCATTCACAAGCAAAAATACATGTTGTTGCTCCAACTCACATTCTCCAAACAAATTAAAAATGCAGAATATATCTGCAGACAAGTGTAGTGACTTGGTCATACATAACGAACACAATCAGCCATCTAATTACAAATGTGAAAATAAATTACATTCATCAGATGTCAAATTGTCTAATATGTCCAACAATAAAATAATAATTGTATCAGATAATATAGGGCAAGGTTTTGGTTCTTTATTATCTAAGCATGTAAGTAATGTGTACAATATATGTTCACCAGGTGCCAGTTTCCATAATAATATAAATAAAATATTAACATTACATTTAAATGAAAATAGTACAATTGTACTTCTTCATGGGGATAGTTCGTCTGTTAGGAAAAAGGAAATTATTAATAATATGGAAATGTTACTTGGCTTACATTATAAGACTAAGTGTAAATTTATAATATGCTCATTTCCATATTCCTCTTTCCTTACAGAGGAACAAAATAAATACATATATAGTCTTAAAATGACTATATATAATACAACTCACCGTCATAGTGACGCATTCTTTTATTTTGACATGAATAATTTTATTAAATCTAGTTTTAAGGTGACAAAAAATACTTGGTATTTGCCATTATATTATAAGAAACAAATTGCTACTTTAGTAGCATACAATATACAGAACCCAGTTGTACATAGTACAACTAAGAATATTTTAACATGTAATAATCCATCATCAAACAATGTTAGTTTAAACTAAACATTGAGACAACACCTAGGCCACAGAAATTAAATATTGTACATCAAAATATACAAGGCTTGGGTGGCAAAGAACCTGAAATAGAACTGTTCCTTAGGAAATTTAATATTCATGTCATCTGCTTCACAGACACATGGTTACATAAGAATTGTAATATTGTAAATATAGAGAATTATAAAATGTTAAGTTCGTTCGTAAGAGTAAATGCTATACGCGGTGGCTCTCTTGTGTTAGTTAGAAATGATATAGTCTGTAAAAATCGACAGGATATAATGGCACTCTCTGTCGAACGTTCTATAGAATTATCCTGCGTTGAGAGTCAACAGTATATTATAGTATGCGTCTATCGACCCCCCTCCGGTGATTTCGACCAGTTTGAGTGTGTCATGGATGATGTCCTAAAAAAACTGTGTTTAACTAGTAAATCAGTCATAGTTTGTGGAGATTTTAATGTGGATTTATTACAAGTAACACAACTTAGTAAGCTTCTTTTAAATTTATTTAATTCATTCAAACTTAAAAATCTTTTTTATGAACCAACTCGTGTTACTAACTTATCCTCCACATGTATCGATAATGTTTTCTGTCACAATGAAGTATATGACAAATCTATTAAAATTATCTGAGCTCTGATCATCTTGGTTTAAAATTTTCAATAAATGAAAACATTACTACAAGTGAAATTAAGATCAGGTGTAGACCAGTCACTGCTAGGAGACTAAATTCTTTTAAAGATAAAGTAGCACAGCATGTATTCCATAAAGATATCGGAGTCAATAACCCTAATGATTGTTATAGATCAATGGTTGATTTTCTCATAAACTTCCTATAATCATATTTTTTAAACCCCCCGCACAATTGTTAAAAAATCAAAATTAAAATTTAGTGACTGGGCAACAGTGGGTATATATAAAAGTAGGGATTCACTGTATGAATTATATAATATGAGGCAGTGGAATCACGACCCTAATTTCCATAAACGGGTACAAAATTTTTCAAAAATATTTAAAAAAGTCTGTATACATGCAAAATCTATCTACATAAGAAATAGGATTTTAAATTCTAGTAATAAAATAAAAGCTACATGGGACATCATTACCTGTATATCTGGAAGACCCAAGATATTCAGGGAACCTATAAAGCTAGTGATAGGCAATACACCCATAACTTCAGATAACGAAATGGCAAGTAGTTTTGAAAGTTATTTTTCAGAAATTGCAATTAATGTTACATGCACGTTAAAATCCTCTCCCATTGATGCAATTAATGTATTAAAAAATAATGTTACCTATTGTCGACAAACGTTTAAATTTAATCACATAGATACTAATGATATTATAAAAGTTTTGAATTCTATTAATCTTAAAAATACAGGAGATTTGTGGGGCATATCCATAAAATTAATGAGTACAATAATTCCGTATATTGCACCATATTTGGCAAATATTTTTAACAAATGTATAGATTCTGGAATATTTCCAGATCTTATGAAATTCAGTAAGATAATCCCCGTTTTCAAAAGTGGGGATAAAAATGATCCAGGAAATTACAGACCTATCTCCATATTGCCATCTCTGAGTAAAATTTTTGAAAAACTAATTTTAAATCAACTCTTAGTACATTTTAATATGAACAAAATTTTCCACAATGAGCAATATGGGTTCACTAAAGGCAGATCGACAACGGATGCGGGTGTCGCACTTGTCAAGCATATTTATAACGCCTAGGAAAGGTCACAAGGTGCAATAGGTGTCTTTTGCGACCTTTCAAAGGCTTTCGACTGTGTATACCACGAAACCCTCCTTCAAAAGTTAGATTATTATGGCATTCGTGACGTCGCCCTCAATCTCATTGCCTCTTACCTTAATAATAGAATTCAAAAAGTATCTATAAATGATGTAAATTCCACAGGGTCCCCCATGAAAATGGGTGTCCCACAAGGATCAATCTTGGGTCCATTATTATTCTTAGTGTATATAAATGATCTCCCCTTTTATGCCAGTGAGTTATGTGATGTTGTACTGTTTGCTGACGACACATCGCTCATTTTTAAGGTTGACCGAAACGTGTCGGATTATGACGACGTGAATAGTGCACTTTCGCGTATCCTCCACTGGTTTACCGTTAATAATATGGTGTTAAATGCTAAAAAAACTAAATGCCTTCTTTTTACCCTTCCCAGCGTAAGAAGGCGAAGTTTTAGCTTAACATTAAATAGCGTAACCCTTAATCCTGTTGAGTCCGCTGTATTCTTGGGAATTACAGTGGATTCAAAGCTCCAATGGAGTCCCCATCTATCATCACTTGCGAACAGGTTAAGCTCCGCTGTTTTTGCAATTAGGAAGGTTAGGCAGCTATCAGACATCGACACTGCCAGACTTGTTTATTTCAGTTATTTCCACAGCATCTTGTCTTACGGCATTTTGTTGTGGGGTAGTGCATCTGATATAAATTCTATATTTATTCTTCAAAAAAGAGCTGTCCGAGCAATCTATAACATCGGAGCCCGGAATACACTCAGAGACCTTTTTAAAGAGATTAATATACTCACTGTTGCGTCTCAATATATTTATTGTAATATTTTGTATGTTAAAAATAATATTAATAGTTATCTAAAGAATAGTGACAGACAAACTAAATACTAGAAATAAGGACAAACTAATTACGCCATTGTTTCATTTACAAAAAGTAAACAGGTCGTTCATGGGGCAAGGTGTGCGCATGTATAATAAAATCCCACAGTCGATATTAAGTCTGCCACTTGATGAATTTAAACGAAAAATTAAAAGTAAACTTATGGCTAAAGCCTATTATTCTATTTCCGAATATCTTGACTACACCAATGTGTGGGGTTAATACTGTTGATACTCACATAGGCTAAAACAAGACTATTGTACATGTACTATTATATTGTAAACTGTTTTTTTTTTTAAAAAGAGCAACTGTTGAGTTTCTTGCCGGTTTCTTCTCAACAGAAACTGCTTTCCGAATCGGTGGTAACTTACGAACGTGTTAATTTCTTGTAAAATTTTGACGTTTCATACTAACGCGCAAGCGTCTATGTGAATAAAGATATTTTATTATTATATCTCATTATCTTTTCTGTCTATATATTTTATATGTACACACAACAACACACAAACTGTAATTGGTAATTCTAAGTGGTTTTTATATTTTCAGCTTCCGCTTAGGCAAAGTCTACAGGTATGACCTTCCAAAACATGATGTCATTTCTTTTGTGTCATTTGCACAAGATTGGTACAGAAATTCCAAAGCAGAAGCTGTACCTCTCCTTGCTTCACCTTTGTAAGTATATATTGAAAATCTGAGTGAGGATAGTTTTAGTTTGATACTATTTATTCAATGGCCATAAGCTTAGAGAGTAAAAAAAAGGTCTCATATGTTAAAAAAGAAGACTCAATAAGTATTACGAGATAAAATATTAAACAAACCAAAAAAACATCCATTTTGTATCTTTGTTTAAAACTTTGTCCCATTTTACTTTACAGTGATGATGTGGTGGATTGGTGTGTTGAAATTCTCAAGTATTACATTGCTTATGGATTAGAAATATTAGCAATATATCCATGGATCTGGCAAATTGGATTGGCAGGATTCAGCTTAGTGGCCATCACAGCATTGATTGCCATTGTCAAAGCCGGAAAAACTAAGCCCAAAGAAGTCAAGAAAGAGAAAAAGAGTAAATAGTTTATTTCGTAAGTTTTATATTACAAATAAAACTGGGTATCTGCTTGAAGAAACCGAAGAAACCTTAGAGGATATTTTTGTAGTAAATTTCAATTTTTGCATATTTTTTCACATCTGTTAAAATCTATCCGTCCAAGCTTTTTGAATTGTGGTTTTCGTTAATTAAGAAAACTATACTATTTCATACTTTTTTCTATTTTTATGAAAAATGAAATACTGTTATTAAAAATATATTCTTTAAGATAAATAAGTAGTATTATTTGTAAATATGCGGCGAATGTTCAGCCAAATATCGGGTTATTTACGGATTATTCGAATTAAATTATTTTAACATTTAATTTAATATTATTAAAATCTGTTAGAAAAATGATTTTTTATATACAATTATTGATAGTAGGTTAAGGTACTCGTTTTTTAACCGACTTCAAAAGGAGAAGGTTATAAAAAAAAAGTAAAGTAACAGCCTAGACATGTCCCACTGCTGGGCAAAGGCCTCCTCTATATAGAGGGTATCAGGGCATAGTCCACCACGCGGCCCCACTGCGGATTGGCGGATTTCACATATTTTCGAAATATATATTTTTTTGTTATTATTTCGAAAATATGCAGGTTACCTCACGATGTTTTCCTTCACCGCGGAGCACGTGATAAGTCAGCACTTAAAGTTAAAAACTTCATAGGTGCCGGCAGCGGGGATCGAACTCAGGTTGCTAGAGTATATTGAATTAAAGGCGAGCGCCCGGACACTGAGCTATCACGGCTCTCAGAGGAGGTTATATTATGATATAATTACGCAGGGCTGCGAGTAAGACGGTGTCGGTACGATGATAAAAATGTATCTAGGTAGAAAACAGACAAAGAGTCACAGACGTTTAATTACATTATTTTATACCCATATTCAAGAAAGCTATGATGAACGAAACGTGTGAATTAGGCATGAGATATACCTGCAACATTCTATACCCGGCCTCAAAGGTACGGGTATCGCCGTATACCCGGTGCTAAAACCCAGTATCGAAATACCTATAGGTATTAGTTATGTTCAGGCCTCCTAATGGAGACCCGGTATGGAATTGAACCTTTATTTGGTTGGAATTGGGACATTTAGATGTTTTTTTTAGCAACCATTTTTTTTTAATTGAGATTTAATCAGTCTAAATTAAGCTCCATCTTTACCAACGTAAAGAACCCGATTATAAAAAAAAGTAATTCAAAATAAATATTACTGTTTAATCTTATTACGCAATTATTTATCTACCTAATTGTCATAGAAATAAAGAATAAATTTATCTCAAGGAAATATTTGGTATAAAATGCCTAAATCATACGTTTCAATTCGGGCATGATCGGAAAGAGCCGCCGTAAGCGTTCGGGGAACTTCGTACCTATTCGGCCGGCGGGTTGTCGCGAGCGTTATATACCGCCACCGTCGGACGAGGCGGCCATAGCCATACCTATCGGGTGTGGAACGGGCCTCTGCCGTACATACGTCATACCCGGTATGCGAGCGGGTTGTCGCAAGCGTTATATACCGCCACCGTCGGACGAGGCGGCCATACCTATCGGGTATGGAACGGGCCTCTGCCGTACATACCCGGTGTGCGTACTGGCATGTTCATACTGGGTATTTATACCTGTTCCAGTATATACGCCTCATCCCTAGTGTGAATGTGTTTGGAAAGAGGGACACTTTCGATAGGTATTATGCTATCGATAGTTAAGGTAAAAGCAGTAGTATCGGTAGTCTATCGATAGTATTGTCAGGTGTCAATACTGTCGATTCTACCGATAGTATCGATAGCTCTCCAAGTGCCAATACTATTGATAACAGTAATACTATCGATAGTACTGCATGCGATAGTATCGATAGTATTGCAAAAACCATTAGTATTTACCAAAAACTATCGAAGATTTTGTACTATTAATAGCCTTTTACTGATTATCGATAGTACAAACAGCCTCGATAGGCTATCGATAGTATTGACTTAGACGATATAATCGGTAGTACAATCGATATCCTGAATAGTTTTCGAGGTCAACTATCATCATATATCTTATATATATATATATATATATATATAATCGGAATCTCGGAAACTGCTCCGGCGATTTTCATGAAATTTAGTACCTATGTGCGTAGATTCGGGGGCGAAAAATCGATCTAGCTAGGTTTCATTTTTAGAAAATGTCCTTTTATCCCTGTTTTCAGGGAATGAAAAATATCATTCGAATATGACGGTAAATTTCGCCGCAAAAAAAATGCTATAATAGCTCGGTCGGTAATCGGGCGGCCCCAAAACAGACAGCCGTGGTTCGTATCACGATCATTTACACACTTATTTTTTTACCTTTGTTTCGATTCCAGATCATTGCTCTCTTTATTTTTTGTAAATTTTTGTTATTTTTTCCCTTTTTTTTTGAAGTTCTTTCTTTTGTGGAAAACACCATTTCATATTTTCATATTATTACGTCGGTAAGATCGAAAAATATTATACATATTTCATTACTCAGTAATTTGTATCTAAATGTAGGTGTGTGGTCCTCCAGGTACTGTATATTATAAAATAACATTGTTTTAAAAAAATGGGTGCTTGAACTTATGTACGCGCGTGACGTGAGAAGTTATACTTCTTTGGTATAATTAAAAATAACCAGGCCGGTCCGGGCAAGTACCACGACCTCACAGAAGACCAGCGTAAAGTGGGAGTATGACAAATACTTTCGCGTTTCGTATGGTGAGTGAGGTAGCCGAAACCCAATTTTCAAAAGGTTGTCAAGGCATCTGTAGCTCTCGGGTGTAGCAGATGTCCATGGGCGTCGGTATTCACTTAACATCAGGTGAACCGTCTGCTCGTTTTTTATAACACACCTAGAGAAGTATAGCTTCTTTGTTTCTGGCATATTTGTAAAATAAACTATAATAGTTTTATTATGTTGATAAAACTATTATAGTTTATTTTACAAATAATAATAGTTAAAAAAAATCAGGTTTTATTTATAAATTTTTTTTTAAACAAAGGCCAAAGGGCAAAATCCTTTAAAAATTATTTAATTAAGTAAATAATTTTAACGTCGAAACATATTGATTTATTTGAAATTAACATGAACACCTTTAACAGTAGCTGGAATCAGTATATTAAGTTAAATGAAGCATAGTAACCTATTTGAATGATACATATACATATTTTATGAAATGTCGAAAATTTTAAGATATTATTTGACAAGTCACATGATACAATATTTTGATTATTTAAACAATTAAATGTTTTGTTGTGTTGAATTTTAAAACAAAAGATTTCAACACAATTCTAAATGTTGATGCTAATACTTAATAATCACAAAAATTTTTAAACAACATTTACAAAAAGAAGCATTTTGTGCACATATATTGCATATATTTCTTTCCACTTTTAGTTTTTGTAATTTGATTGGTCTACAAAAGTTAAGTTTAAAACTTGAATGAATTTTTATTTGAAAGTTTATTAAACAATATAAACGCCCCTTATTATTGTTACTACACATTTAATTATTTGCCATATTTTCATGTGTATTTTTTTTGCAAGATTAAAAGAGTACTTTGTGGATGATGCGAGTGACTCAAAACATGACTTGATATTTCAGGATATTCAGTTGCAAAATACAATAGGTTTTCAAGTCCCAGCATTCCCATACCCCGAAAGTCTGTCTTTGGGTCGTCACCCTGGAAAAAATTGGGCGATAATTGTTGTATATATATCCTTTGTTTAATATTTCTTAATTAGGGGAAAATAAACAGACAACAAAACAATTACCTGAAAACCAATATATTGCCACTGCTTAGTAATTCTACTTTCTAAGGTAGTTGTGGGTACCAATAAACACCACAAATTCAACAATTTTTCTTCATGTAGAATATTATCGCTATCAAATTTTGTTCTCCGAAGATCTTCCACGTCATTCAATAGACTTTTGTAACTCCAAATTTGTTCTATACATCGTCGGAACGATGAAATAAAAGGTGAATGAAGTTTTGGGTTAATTTTCTTAACTCTTAGAATAATTGATATCGATGGATCTATGATATCACGAAAGTTTGACGGAACAAATCTATGTTCTGAGACAGTTGTGTCTAAATAAGAAACAACTTCCTTTACATTTTGAGTTCGGGAAAGCATTAAAGATTTTTCAACATTACATGTTCTAGCAGCTCCACTTTTGTCTCCATAACAGATTCTCTGTAGTTCACACAAACGAGTTGTTTTGCGAAAAAACCATTTAATCAATGGCCTTAGGTACCATTCCAGTATGGACCAAAGATTTAATAGCATCATTTCAATTTTTACGTGGGATATTAATATTTACATGATATTTGTAAAGTGTGATAAATTATTTGAATTTTTTTTCCATAATATAAATTTAAGTTAAAATATTTAACAATACTTTCAACTCAAATAATAATACTGTCAACAATTGTCAAATGTCATCAGTGCTCAGTTCAGTGTGTGTTCATGGCAACGGACGTAGTGATTACATTCTCTTTGGCAACGGAACACAGTTGTTCCGTGTAGGCCACAGACATAGAACCATAAAACGTAGTGGTTATATACTCTTTGCATAGAACACTTTTACTTAGAAAAGAATAACGATTCCAAACATACGACGAAATTTCTTATAGACCAGCGCCATCTGTGTTTAGCCCACCTAAACTAGTGAGTAGTAGGGCGGGAATTTCAAACTATTAATTTTAAGGTAGGTACTTGCTATTGCATTTTATTCACAAATACAATGCGTTTGTAACACACAGTATACTTGTGCATAAATTGCTATATTTATTCATCTTTACTGAGCAGTCTAATTAAACATGAAAAACTAATGAATTGGTACTTCACTTTTTTATATAGCATGATAATAAATACAATGTATGAGATATTCATTTATGCAACATATATTATAACAGACACATATTCATATGAATTCATACATGAAAAACAGAAAAAAACAGGAAAATAAACGGTTGTATTTATTTCCAGAAATTTGGTACAAAAATCACAAGTAAGTGGACGTAACGATAATGAATCACAAACATCAGCAAATCTTAAACACAAATTAAAAACAACATTTTTAAAATACAATATAAATGACATTAAGCAGAAAATTTTAAAGAACAGAAAGTTATTCAGTGTAAAGTAGTGGTAGTTCAGTGAAAGTTAGTAAGTATTTCACACATCTTCACTCAAAATAAACAAAAAAAAATGTGTGCGTGTACTAGCGTACACTCGTAAGAAGTGAAACTTTTTTATGACGTTATTTTTCAAAAAATAATTTACTATATGCAACTTTACAGAACGCTAATAGGTCTATTAGCTCCTTCGTTCTTTCACACAATTCATCGGTACCGAACGAAACGAAAGCGACTGATCACTGATTATTGTAAAGTGTGATAAATAATTTGTTACTGAAGCAAAAATCCTTGGTACTGCAGCTAAACCGAATGGCAGACAAGTCATCTGAAGTAAACGACCCTGATAACTGATCCGGAGAATCCTTCTGTACTGCTTGTTTATCGGTAGATGATAGTAGGCCTGAATTAAATCCAGTTTGACCATCCAATCTCCCTGTTGTAAGAACTTGGGTACTTGGTGATGGTGGAAAAGATGAAAATGTGTCGGTTTCATGTATTGATTCAACGCCTTGAGATTGAATTGGTCCCGGGAATTATTAAAAGCGGAGATATGAAGACGGTGTCAGGGGAGCGGGTTCTAAAACTCTCAATTGACTTAAATTCTGAATTTCGATCGACATTATTAACGTTCTCTCAGAGCGCACTTCTAAAGGACCGAACAGGCACAAGACTAACTCACACCAATTTCAGTATATATGTCTTATCTATGACACTAATACTCCCACAAGAACGACAACTCCCTAGTTTTGTTACACGGGGCCCACTAACGCTTAAGTGTATGCCCTCCAAATTAACCCATAGCGCGGGAATATATGAAATAATAGAATGTACCTACTCAATAGAACGTTGTCATGTATTTAACTTCAAAAACATGGATGATACTATAAGAGTTCTAACGTTTTTAGTGACAACCCGCCGGCCGAATAGGTACGAAGTTCCCCGAACGCTTACGGCGGTTCTTCCCGATCATGCCCGAATTGAAACGTATGATTTAGGCATTTTATACCAAATAATTCCTTGAGATAAATTTATACTTTATTTTTATGACAATTAGGTAGATAAATAACGTAATAAGGTTAACAGTAATATTTATTTTGAATTACTTTTTTTGATAATAGGGTTCTTTACGTTAGTAAAGCTTATTTTAGACTGATTAAATCTCAATTTAAAAAAACTGATTGCTAAAAAAACATCTAAATGTTCCAATTCCAACCAAAGGTTCAATTCGTTTGATTCGACCGAGTCTCCAAAAGGAGGCCTGAACATAACTAATACCTATAGGTATTTTGATACTGGGTTTTAGCACCGGGTATACGGCGATACCCGTACCTTTGAGGCCGGGTACATGTCTAGTTTTTACCTTGATCCTAATATTTTAATTATTACTTAACTTGACTATTAGTAAGCAGAACTATTGGTTATATCACAGACCGGGACCGCAGCCAAAATCCAAGTGACCACTGCTCTATGCGACCATGTGTCCCTTGGCTAGAGTAGATAACGTTATATCCGGTATACAGTGTTGTCAGCGCCAAAATTCGGCCGTCCTGCATCACGCCTTCGTCCTCGAATGGCGTTGTAGTCTGGTACAAGTAACCTTCATAAAATTAACACACCTTACCCTGTGGCTTATCCCCCTCAACTGGGATGCATATCGCCACGTTCAGAATACCTTAACCTGTGGCTTATCCCTCTCAACTGGGATGCATATCACCACGTTCAGAACACCTTACCCTGTGGCTTATCCCTCACCACTGGGATGCATATCGCCACGTTCAAAACACCTTATCATGTGGCTTATCCCTCACAACTGGAATGCATATCGCCACGTTCACAGTTTTCAGTGATTTATCAAACTTAGGTGGCTTTACCGGTTACACCAGTCGTGTACAGCTAAATGCTCGTTAGCTTATCCGGGTAAATCGATATATATAATAAAAGTTGTGTATCGCTATTTTACATTTTCTCAAATATGACAAGTAATTAATTAACTGGAAGGTACTCACCAAAACTTTCGTGACATTTAACCAAAAGAATTTATCACCATTAGGCATAGGAAGTATAAAACACACTGTTTTATTTTAAGAGGATAGTTACCCAAGGAGAAAATATGTCGCCGATTCTTTGAACAGCCAAACGCGAGTTTTCGTATTGAATCCCACTTCTGATATAAGAATTCTAACGTTTTTACCTTGATCCTAATATTTAACTATTACTTAACTTGACTATTAACAACTATTAGCAAGCAGAACTATTTGTTATAATACATAGTACCCGGAGGACCGAGCTTTGCTCGGTTTGTTTTTTTTTTGGTAAATCGTGTATTTTGGAAATTACATTTAGATACAAATTACTGAGTAATTAAATATGCATAATATTTTTCGATCTTACCGACGTAATAATAAGAAAATATGAACTGAAGTTTTTCACAAAAGAAAGAACTTTAAAAAAAAGGGAAAATAATAACAAAATAACAAATTGACAAGAAATTAAAAATAAAGAAAGCAATGATCTGGAATCGAAAAAAAAGTAAAAAAATAAATGTGTAAATGATCGTGACGCGAACCACGGCCGTCTGTTTTGGGGCCGCCCGATTACCGACCGAGCTATTATGACATTTTCTCTTGCGGCGAAATTTACCGTCATATTCGAATTATATTTTTCATTGCCTGAAAACCGGCATAAAAGGGCATTTTTTAAAAATGAAACCTAGCTAGATCGATTTTTCGCCCCCGAATCTACGCAAATACTAAATTTCATGAAAATCGCTGGAGCCGTTTCCGAGATTCCGATTATATATGTATATATACAAGAATTGCTCGTATAAAGGATAAGATTTTAAGAATCATCACATTAATTCAAATTGCTACTGTCATAATAATTTTTATATTAATGGATAATTTATTAATTAGATGAGAACGAATAGAACCACATTTAAAACGTTCTTAAATATTTTATTATACAAAAAGTAGACTGTTTTTAGTATTGCTTAATGATTTTGGATACAAAGAGTTTAAGAAACAAAACTGATACAATTCCGCATTTAACATGGCATTCTACTTTGGGGAAATGCGGCTGACATAAACACTATCTTCATCCTGCAAAAGAGAGCTATTCGAGCAGTTTATAACCTGGGCCCAAAGAATCGCTAAGAAATTTGTTTAAAGAAATAAAAATATTGACTGTAGCTTCTCAGTACATACTTGCAAATGTTATGTATGTCCACAAAAATAAGTAGATGATGTAAATACTAGGAACAAGCATAAATTAGTTCTACCCTCAACTGGATTGCGTAGAATAAGTAAATCTTTTATGGGACAATGTATACGGTTTTACAACAAAATCCCAGAAAACGTTCAAAATGAATCCGTTGCTAAATTCAAAAAACTTGTAAAGGAAAATTTGTGTGTTAACGGACATTATAGATATTAGTATTACTGATTATTTGAATGATAACACACTCTGGAAATGAATTGATCGCACCAGGCTCTTTCAAGTGGACTTTAATAAATTGTACACATGTTTGTTATTTTTTTGTCAAGATAAAAAAAATTAAAAAAAATATCCCGCTGAGTTTCTTTCGTCGGTTCTTCTCAGGTCTCAGTGGCTTTCTTTACAAACCGGTAGTAGAGTTTTTTGACAATCAATAAGTATGTGTAATGCTTCTATAT